AATTAGTATTTAAATTCACTAAAAGCTCAAAATGCTCTGTTCCACCTTGTGATGTCATGAAGCGGTAGTTTTCAAAGTTAATAGCTACCATTTACTTTCAGTTAAATAGAGATTGAAAATTACAGGACTGAAATCATCTGATACTTTGCAGATGTCATCAACATTCTCTGGGGGTGTGATGCTAACTGCAGGCACTGCTCTGTGTGAGTCTTTGTTACTCGAGTTAGACATTAATCTGAGTTTTCTTTTAACACAATCCTACAAAAAAAATAACTGATTTAGTTAGAAGTTTTTTCAGTTACTCACTCTCAGCTTTTAGTTGAAAATCAAAAACCTAAACAGAAATCCATGTTGTATTTTTTCATGTGCGTTTTCTGATTATCTTAAAACTGTTCACAGTGATTGATTGAATTTATATAGCACCTTTCAAGATACCCAAAGTGCTTTACAGTTCATTATTCAGTCACTCCACACTCAGTGGTGGCAAGATACTATTGTAGCCACAGCTGCTCTGGGGCAGACCGACGGAAGTGAGGCTGCTAATCTGCACCATCAGCCCCTCCAACCACCACCACCACCACCACTCACACACACCTCTTTCATACTATGCAATGTGGGTGAAGTGTCTTGCCTCAATGACAGTTTTTGCCACTGGGGCCCCATGTGGCACCTGGAATTCCTAGTGGTCTCCCATCCAAGTACTAACCAGGCCCAGCCTGCTTAGCTTCTAAGATCTAACGGAATCAGGCTTTGACAAGCTGGTATGGCCAGTGTTTGCTAATATCACTACATGTGTCTCCATGGTAACTAATTTAGAAATCCACCAGCATGATGTATTTTTACACTTTTTGACTTTTAAGTATCATTCAGAGATTTCAGACTGATAGCCAATATGCTAAAACTTGTGAATAGGGGCCCTCTATCTAGATCTCTATCTAAAATCAGAGAAATGCTTTTTTTAGAGTTGTTTTTTTTAGTTGTCAGTAAGCGAAAGTATTTTCCAGGGACATGCTCTGGCAGTTCACCAAATCCAGACAGATTTCTCTCTGTGTTTTTTATTTATTTTATACAGATTCGTATCAGTCTGGTCCCCACTCCCGCCAATGCGTCTCCAGCCTGACTAAACATGATCGTCCAATCAGATCAGTGGTGGAAGGTAAAGTACTGTACTCAAGTAAACTTTTTATGTATCTGTACTTTACTTAGGTACATTTTACAGTGGATACTTTTTGCTTTTACTTCATTACATTTGAAAGCATGTATGTATCTGTTTTTTCTACTGCACTACATTTTTAACTGAACTGAAAAGTAAAATTATCTTTCATTGTTGTGTCAGACCTGCTGAAAAGGTGGTTTATTTTTAACCCATTCATAATCTGAACAAACAAAAATATACAAATAAAATTAATAAAATATAAAAATAAAAGTTAAGTACAAGTAAAATCAAAATTCAGTACAAATCTGTATCAAAATCAATACTTTTGAAGCCTTATAAGACCTCAAAATCTGCATGCAATACTTAATACTTTTACTTGAGTATATTTCTGTTCCAGTGTCTACTTTTATTTAAGTAACAAAATTGAGTTCTGGTTCCACCACTGCATCAGAGTAGGTCTTTTCAGTGAGCTTATTGGTCATCTGTCATTTACAGTAGAATTTAACGCTTTGCTCATTAAGTTTGCAGAAACTTGGCATGTTTTTCAGGCCCCTGTGATATTTTTTCCTCTTTTTTTTGAGTCTGAGATTTGAGTAATCCCATTAGTCTATGTACATCTCCAAAGCTCAAAATGCTCCATTCCACCTTGTGATGTCATGAAGTGGTAGTTTTCAAGTTAACAGCTCCTTTTACCTTTTCTAATAGAGATTGGCAATTCCAGGTCTGAAAATATCCAAATGATTCTAGTGAAGGTGTATGGAGTTTAAAAACACAGTGGATCGCTTCCTGTATTTCCACATGACATCACAAGGTGGAACAGTGTTATCAGTTTGAGAGAAGAACACAGCCTAAATATGCAGGGTTTGTGTGTTAAATATGTGAATGAAACAAAACACAACTCCAGGTTTGTTTTTGCTGAGGAAACAACACTAGAACATAGATCAGAAAATTGCGTAATATGGGACCTTTAAGAGTAATGCAGGACAACTTATGCATTTATGTATTACTCCTGAATGAGAAAACTGTGATGGTTTCAGACTGAGGATCACTGATAAACTGTGGTAAATGTTAATGGATGGAAGATTTTGTATTATATAATTCAGATGTCCATCGGCGGCAGAGAAAGGTCTTTTATGAGGTTAATGTGTTTGCATATTGTCCCAGTTAAATAAAACAATCAACGAAACCAAACAGTATTGAGTTATTTAACCATGAAATGCTCTTTTACAGTTTACCACAAAGTCATATTATTGGGTTTGGTTTTAATTTTCAGAATCAATTTTGGATTTAGTGAAGCAAAAATTTAAATGCTGAAAAAAATAAAAGATTTGCAGAAAAGTTCAAATTTATTTTCAAGTTTGTGTCAGTAAAAAAAAGTCTCCATATTTGAGTGGTTTCTAGACTGTGGTCCTGGTTTGGATCAAGTTAGTATTGTTCAACGGTCCATCACCTGCTTGTATCCATGGAGATGTTATTGCTTTGCCTGAAATGTTCGACAGTATTGCATAAAACTTATTTTTCTATTACTTGCATTTATTGAGTTACAGGGGATTTTATTGTCTTGATAAACATGCATTCTTACTGAGAGCAAGGTCACTTATCCACAGATCTGACCTGTAACTTGGTCTAGTAGCGTCTAGCACCTCCTTGGAAATGTATGTTTAATGCCATACTATGGAACATTTCAGCAATAGTATTGGAGAGCAGACATTCCTCCACCAGAAAAGTTACACAGTGCATCTTTAAAGCTACCATTTGTAATTAGATTGGCGGACCCACCCCTGCTGTCTTCTCACATACCACCACTAGATGCTGTCTACATTACTGCTGTCTGATAGTGTGCCAAATTAGCTTTAAAGGTGCATTGTGTAACTTTTCTGGTGGAGGGTGCGTCAAATGCTTTTCTCCATGGAAATGCTATTGCTTTGTCTGGAATGTTTCACAGCATTGTATTAAACATAGACCAAGTTACAAGTCAGGTCTGTGGAGAGGTAACAGAGATTTTATTCCCCACCCCTTCACCTTGCTCCTCCCCCTTCCCTGGACTCTGCACTGCAAAAAGCAATATCTATAGGCAAATTAAAAAGACTTAAATTACATTACAAAATTACAAACATTTGACTTTATTTGAGTAGATTCAACTTGACAAGTAAAATGATTTTTTAGAGTTTTTTCTTATCTTAAGTGTAGCAAGACGTATTTCATATTTTAAGTACAAAAAGTCATGTTTCATTGGTAGAAATGAAATGAAATGTACTCAAAACATGTCAAAACTTTCTTAATTCAAGTAGATTTCAGTTTTTTCAGTGTGGTCTTCTTCTGTCAGACCAAAGCTGGCACACTATCAGGCAACAGCAATGTAGACAGCCTCTAGTGGTGACATGTGAGATTGCAACAGGGGCCAATCTAATCACATATGGTAGATTTATGTACATTATTTAAGTGTATTGCTTAAAGATGCATTGCACAACTTTTCTGGTGGAGGGTCGGTCAAATGCTTTTCTCCATGATGACGTTTATTGCTTTGCTGGAATGTTCCATGGTATGACAGTAAACAATCTATGCAGCATTTACTCATCGTGGGTGGTTCTGTTGCTCAAAAATACAAAAATTCTCTCTGTGAATAGGGGCGACTTTCCACAGATCTGATCTCTCGCTTCCATTGAGACAGATAGGTTTAATCTCTAACGTAGAGCATTCTAGACAAAGCAATGACATCTCCATGGAGACATCTATCTGTGAATATGGACGACTCTCCGCAGATCTGACCTGCAATGTAGCCTATAGATTTGTCTCACTGAGGATAGATCGGTTTAATCTCTACTGTCGAACATTTTGGACAAAACAATAACATCTCCATGGAGTCAAGCAGCTGACGGACCCACCACCAGAAAAATTACATGGTGCTCCTTTAATTACATGTCATGACTGTCATAAAGTGCATTTAATCAACACATCTAAAGATCTTGACAACTTCTTGCACATGTGTAGTTTTGTCAGATGTTACACAAAAAACAAAACCACAAAATGCGTATCTCTGGCATCACAGTAGCCGCTCTAACATAGATAAGTACAAGGCTCTTTTAAACTGCTCCACTTACAGACTCTTTGATGAGGGGACTTCTGACCTTTTTTTTTTCCTTTCTGTAGTAGTGAAGTAGTGTTGTAGTAGTAAAATATGCAGTTACTTCATAATGAGTGAAGGTGTGCGTGTGTGAGTACAGTGACTCAGTGCTTCACCTATTGCAACACCTTTAAAAAATGGCAGTGAAAGAGTTAGAACAGTGGTGGTTTTTGCAGCAGGAGTGGGTACAGTAGCCCAAATTACTCAATTAAGAATAACAGTACTTTAAAATATTATTACTGAAGTAGAAGTACAAAGTAGTGGTTCAAGAAATTAAATCGTATTTGAAGGAGCGGTGCAAGAAACACAAATGTTGAAATCATTTCATATTGTCAACATAAAACTTTTGTCCTTTGTAGACTTACTCACAGTGGGAAAAGTCACAAAAACTTTTAATCAAGCAAAAGTACCACTCCTTCTATGAAAATATTACTCAAGTAGGAGTAAAAGTATGCTGCTAATAAGTACTCTGAAAAGTATTTTTTTTGGTTTTGGTTCCTCTTCCCACTGTGAGTAAGTCTATAAGTGATAAAAGCTTTATCTAAAAATATGAAATGATTTGAACATTTGTGTTTCTTGACCGCTCCTTCCTTAGTGTTTATCATTTTTGTATCTGTTCTTTGAATTAACCTATTACCACATTACCACATTAACATTAAATTATAAACCAGATTCTGTAAATTTGAACTAAAATAAGTATGGATTATATGTATGACTTACCAGTTTTGGAGATGTTAGTCCAAATAGAAAAGGTTGAATGATAGAGGAGCGCTGAGTATTTGGATGAGCTTTTCAACCTGTTTCCCCACCCACACCAGCCCTGAGCTGTCATACCTGCCCCAACACGTGCGACAGAGAGAGAGAGAGAGAGAGAGAGAGAGAGAGAGAGAGAGAGAGAGAGAGAGAGAGAGAGAGAGAGAGAGAGAGAGGGAGAGAGAAACGAGGGCAAGATGGGAGGGAAAGAAGAGAAAGAGAGGGAGAGAGAGAGAGAGGGGAGGGAAAGAAGAGAAAGGGGAGGGGGAGAGAGAGAGGGATGGAGGGAAGAGAGGGAGAGGAGAGAGGAAAGGGGGAGAGAAAGAGAGAGGGAGAGCAGGGGAGGGAGTGAGAGAAGAGAGAGTCGGCAGAGAGAGAGGGAGAGAAGAGAGAAGGAAGGGGAGGGAGAGAAAAGAGAGGGAAGGGAAGAGAGCGAGAGAAGAGAGGGAAGGGGGAGAGAGAAGGAGGGAAGGAAGAGAGAGAGAGGGAAGGGAAGAGAGAGAGGGAGGGAGGGAGAGAGAGGGGGAAGAGAGAGAGGGAGAGGAGAAAGAAGGAAGGGGAGGGAGAGAAAAGAGAGGGAAGGTAAGAGGGAAGGGAGAGAAAGGGGGGAGAGGAGAGAAAAGAGAAGGAAGGGAGAGAGATAAAAGAGAGGGAAGGAGAGAGAGAGAGGGAGGGAGGGAGGAGAGGGACAGAAGAGAGAGGGCAGGGGGAGAGAGAGGAAGGGGAGGGGGGAGAGAAGAGAGAAGAAAAAGAGAGAGGTGGGGGGAGAAGAGCCAGAGAGAGGTAGAGAATAAGGGAGGAAGTGTGACAGAAGAAGGGAGAGAGAGAGAGTAAAACAGAGGAAGGAGGCATTGTGAGAGAAACAAGGAGAGAGTAAAGGAGAGGGACAAGAGAGATGGAGAAAGAGCGAGAGAGACACAAAAGGTGTTTTCAGGCCAGAACGGTGCCGATTTGTACTCATACAAATCATTATTTATATGCGCCAAGCTCTGCTGCTGTGCAGAAGAAGGCAACGAGGCCCAATCCAAAGATAACTTTACCTATATCATATATTTGGTCTCCTCCACTGATCACTGCACAGTCTTCTTGTCACTTGATTTCTTCATCATATTCCACACACACGTTTTCTTTGTTTGTTTATTTTACCACGTGTCCACGTGTGACCAGAATGAACCTGCTGACTGTGTCGTCACGATTCACTTGGGAAAAAAAACGTTTTATTTGGTTGCCGTCGGGAACCAACTTTTCGGTTCCCAATTTTGAGCGTGAACACGTCAGTCGGTTTGAGGTGCGGTTCTCTGACTGCCTGAAAACGCGAAGGGAGAGAGAGAGTAAAGGAGAGAGAGTAAAGGAGAGGGAGAGTAAAGGAGAGAGAGGGAGTAAAGGAGAGAGAGAGAGTAAAGGAGAGAGAGGGAGTAAAGGAGAGAGAGAGAGTAAAGGAGAGAGAGAGAGAGTAAAGGAGAGGAGAGTAAAGGAGAGAGAGTAAAGGAGAGAGAGAGAGTAAAGGAGAGAGAGAGAGTAAAGGAGAGGGAGAGTAAAGGAGAGAGAGGGAGTAAAGGAGAGAGAGAGTAATGTAGAGAGAGAGTAAAGGAAAGAAAGAGGCGTGCCTTTGTCATTACTGCATTGACAAACTTTGACTACTTCAGAGTATAATTACTGGAGCACACTGTTTAATGTTTTGTTGGTCTGAGGTTATACGTAGGTCAAATACTCGAAAAGATTTCATTATTAAAAGAAATAAGGAAGTGAAAAGTATTCGTATAAAAATCGCTCTTTGTGGTGCATTTTGGTTCCTGTTTCTGATTGAAATATTATGAAGTAGTAGTTCTGTAGCTATAATAGTCTACTAGTAAATGGATTTCTAATTATTACTAAAACACTGGAGAAGACTAATTGAATGTGACAAGTTTAACTACTAAATTCTATAAAACAAAGTTAACTCGTTAGATTTAAGGGTCCTATATTACACAAAACTGACTCTTGTGAGTTTTAGACAAAATTATAGCCATTATAATGTTGTTAACTCATCAAAATATACCTAGAGTTGTGTTTTGTTGCACACATGTTAGAGCAGCCCTTTATTATTAGTCCAAAGCTCAAAATGCTCTGCTCCACCTTGTGATGTCATGAAGCAATAGTTTTCAGGTTAACAGCTACAGTTAATATATGTTTGTATGTGTAAAGTTTAAAACCATATTGGAGCACTTCCTGTATTACCACATGACATCACAAGGTGGAACAGAGTATTTTCTGCCTGAAGAACTCAGCCTATATATGCAGACTCCAGATATGCTGACGAGGAAACAACATTATCAACAACAGACACAGATAATCAGGAACTATGAGCAATTAGAGTAAAGGTTATAATTTGATTTCCTGGTTGGACATGGGCAGCATTTATGAGATACTAAGAGGCGTGTAACCTAGCAACCATAATGTTACCAAGGGCCACAACACAATTACACAAGAGTTATGATTTGACAAATAAAAATAAATGACAACACCTTATTAAAATCAATCAATCAAAAATGTCTTTATTGTGTGTAAATTCTATCCTCATTTTGGATGGAGTTTATTAGTTAAGGTAAGGAGGTAGAGATATTCTGCTCACTGCTGCCTCCATTTCTTCACAAACTGCCACCTAACTGAGGGAAAACTATGACAAATAAATATCACAGATAATTAGAAAAACATATGAATCTGTCAAATGTACTTTAAGCCTTAGCATTGATTTCAGTTATTAACAGCAGTAGAAAATAGAGATGTAATACACTATTTTGTAAAATAAGAAAAAATGTTGTAATTGTATGGAAGAAAATACTGAGGAGTTTCCATTCTTGGGACAGAGAGCCCCCTCCTGGTCAGAGTTGGTATGTACAAAAAATATCACATGGGACAGTAGAGATAAGGAAGCACCATCACCTTTATTGTCATAATACATAGTTGATACAACTGAAAACATTTAGAGGAGATACAAAACCATTTCTGCACCATGTTTTTCAGACAATTCAAAAATATGTTCCAATGATTCTTAGAACCACTACAGTTTGAGGTAGAGCGCAATAATTCTTTAAAGGATCCATATTATGCTATTTTCTAATCTGTTGTTTTGTCAGTTCTCCAACAGAAAACAATCTGTTCCACCTTGTGATGTCATGTGGTACTACAGGAAGTGCTCAACTGTATTTTTAAACTTCATACACCTTCACTAGAATCATTTGAATTATTTCAGATCTGGAATTGCCAATGTACTGAAAATAAAGGTAAAGAGTATCTGTTAACTTGAACATTACTATCAGAGATGGGACCAAGTCCTTGTTTTGCAAATCTCAAGTAAGTCTTTGACCTCAAGTCCGAGTCAAGTCCCAAGTCAAATACAGCCAAGTCGATTCTCGAGTCACAGGCCCATAAGTCTAAGTCAAGTCCAAGTCGTCTGCTTTGAGCTTCAAGTCATTTCAAGTCTTTACACCAAAGTACCAAATATAGCTTAGATTTTTGCAATTTATCTGACTTAAATTGTACTTAAAATGTCATGGTATATTTAGGAGTATTTATATAAGAGTTGTAGAAATGCAAAATTTTCCTTTTTAAATGTATTGACCAGATCTTAGTGTGAATCACTAGTCAGAATAAAAAGAAATCAAAAAGTGTTTAATAACAGTTATTTTGTCATGTAGTCTGCACTGAAATGGAAGGATCATGTTCTATGTAGTACCCTCTGTTTTACTGCATTGTACTGTATATTACTGTAGTGCATTTGAGGATCTCACAGTACTTCAATTACATCCAAAGTAACAAACAGAAAGTGGGAGGGACATGTTCCAGTTTGTTCCTGTAAAATTAAGCATTGCTTGTATCAACTGTGAAGAGAAAATATTTTCTAAAAGACATATTTTTTTTTAGGAGAAGCATCAAGTCTTCTCAAGTCACAGAGCTCAAGTCCGAGTCAAGTCTCAAGTCATTGACCTTCAAGTCCAAGTCGAGTCCCAAGTCTTAGTCCATTTTATCAAGTCAAGTCTCAAATCTTAAAAATAGTGACTCAAGTCTGACTCAAGTCCAAGTCACGACTTGCGAGTCCCCACCTCTGACTACTACTACACAAGATGGAACAGAGCATTTTGAGCTTTGGATATGTAGACAGACTAATAATGCAGGATTACTCAAACGTATGACTGAAACAAAACACAACTCCAGGTCTGTTTTTGAGGAGGTAACAACATTATAACACAACTTAAATCTCAAAAGAGTCAGTTTTGCATAATATGTGACCATTACATCATGAAATCATTGCTATTATATGATCATTAGTGAAACAGCTCTATCTCAATCTCCAGTTTTTCAGTTACTCATGTTCAAAATTTTTGTTGAAAATCAAACACCTAAACAGGGCCATGAACGCTTGTATTGATCACAGGCTCCTGAAAATGTCTGTGTGTGTTTGCTAATGTGTGTGCATTGTGATACCACAGTAACTCCAAAACATTTCACCATTGGAGATACGTGGAGAACACCCCCAGCAAGACGTCACTGCAAAGTATCAATACGTTAAGTTTTGATTATATCCTCTTAAGAATGTAGTTAAAAAGTGGAGTAGGAACATTAAAAACAAAACAACCCACTCCCTTGAATCAGTTCTAATAATGTCAAAGTAAACACAATTACTGTGCAAAAGAAGCATTTTAAAGAAAAATTTAAGAGGGAGTATTACACTTCTGTGAGGTATTAACTGCTAATACATAACCTATTTAGATCACTATGTTACCTTTTATTGTTTTGAAAATGCTATATTTGTTTTATAAGTTAATACCCCACAGAACCCCCATTCTATATACTCCCTCTTTAATTGTAAAGCCTATACACTTTTTGTGCAATACATACTTAAGTTTATGTTTATTTTCGATGCATTAGTAAAAATAACATTTGAATGAAAGAAAAATATTAAGAACCCAGAAGCTGAATACAATAAAACCAAACAGAACTCATAATATGTTTTTGATTAGAAATGAGAACATGATTACACTTTATTCTGAACTAAACTGCGTAACTTTTCTGGTGGAGGATTCTGATCCTGATAAAAGAGCTGAAAGTCCTATGACTGCTAATAACATCTCCATGGAGACAAGCAGGTGATGCTCATTTTCCACCAGAAAAGTTACGCAGTGTACCTTTAAAAGGCCCATATTACGCTATTTTCTGCTCTGTGTTTTAATGTTGTTGTTTCTTCATCAAACACAAACCTGGAGTTGTGTTTTGTTTCATTCACACATGTTAAACACACAAACCCTGCATATTTAGACTGAGCTCTTCTCACAAACTGAACTCCACCTTGTGATGTCATGTGGTAATACAGGAAGTGCCTTACTAAACTAAAAGTAAAAGGTAGCTGTTAACTTGAAAACCACCACCACATGACATCACTAGATGGAACAGAGCATTTTGAGCTTTGGAGATGTAGACAGACTAGAATTACTCAAATATTTGTGAATGAAACAAAACACAACTCCAGGTCTGTTTTTGATGAGGTAACACAGCTCACAAGTGTCAGTTCTGTGTAATATAGGCCTTTTAAAGACCTTTACTGTACTCATCCAGAGATTTTAGATGCCCGTCCCTTGTGCTTGTTACTGCCTTCATAGCCCTCTCATAAGCCTCTTGCACTGAATTGGCTTCATCTGCTGCTCTGCCTCCAATTACCCCTCCGTAAATACCTCCAGCCAGCCCAACCAGCCCTACTCCTGCCCCTCCAGCACCCAACACTGCACTTAGCTCCATGGATAACCCTACTCTTGATGCTAGACTCTGCACTCTTTTCACGACCACTGGATTTTGAACAGCCGTGACAACTAGTCTAACCAATGCTTCAACACCAAAAACAGCTCCCAGTAATGCTCCCGTGCCGATACCTGCGAGACTGATCAACCACCGTTTCGAAACGCGATCTTTAGCTTGTTTTCGGATCTCTTCTGGCGGAGTAGATGCGTCTGATTCTTTGCTAACTACTTCCATCTCCTTCTCAATATCTTTCTCCAAAGCTTTGAATGCCTTATTGGAGTAACATCCCCAGTTGTTTGATTTTACCATTTGGTCAATAGTTTCGAGCAACGCATCTACTTGAAGTTGGTTGCTCCTGTACGGGTCTGACTGGTTAGCATTCCAATACATGTTATCAACAACTTGGCAACGATTTCCACATTTTTGGACTAGCTCCGTCAGCCTTTTGTTTTGTTTGATAAATGTTTCAATATTCATGCCTGGAGGAAGTTGATTGCCATGGGTGAAGACAACAGTAGCGTACTTTAAGGCTTCTTCGGAAAAGTATTGGCAAATTTTGGTGATGATAGCTTGCTCTTGCACTGTGAATTTTTCAACTTTTAATACAATAAGAAAAGCATGGGGGCCTGGAGTGCTTTCTGTAAGACAGCTTAGGATCTCTGGCCTAAGATCCTCCTCTGAACGCTCCGAATCAAACAAACCAGGTGTGTCAATGATGGTGATGTTTTTACCGTTGACTGTTTTGGTTTTGGATTGGCATTTTTTCGTCCCGGAGTTGGGTGTGTCGTCAGTTTTAAAAAAGTCCTCTCCCAAAATGGTGTTCCCCAAACTGCTCTTCCCCGATCCAGTTTTTCCCAGAAGGATAATCCGCTTTGACTCTGAGTCTGAAAAATAAAAATGAAACGGTCACAATCATTTCAAACAGAAAACATTCTATTTCACCTTGTGATGCCATGTAGTAATACAGGAAGAGCTCCACTGTGTTGCAAAACTCCACACACCTTCAATAGAATCATTTGGATGATTTCAGTCCTGGAATTGTCAATTTCTACTAAACTAAGAGTAAAAGGTAACCGTTAACTTGAAAACAACCACTGCATGACATCACAAGGTGGAACAGAGCATCTTGAGCTTTGGAGATGTAGACACTAATAAACCAGGATTATTCAAGCATGTGTAAATGAAACAAAACACGACTCCAGGTATGTTTTTGAGGAGGTAACAGTATTATAACATGACTAAAATCTATGGAACCTTTAATGAAAGAAGATTTTTTATTGACTAACCTTGGGCAACAGGATGCTTCAAAGATGACTGGGTGACGTTGAAAGTCTAGAAATGAAAAAGCATTTAAAATCCCTGGTTTGTTATTATTTTAGTTTTTTTTTTTTATAGGTGTTCTTTCTTTACCTTTTCTGTCATGTGGTCATTTGGATGGCAGACAATGTTGACTGTAAATGGAGTTCTGCTGGTTCGTCTTTGGTCAAAGTTGTGGATTTCTTCCAGAAGGACCTGCGCCACGACTTCCTCCGGAAAACCAAGGACCACTCCGGCACCAAGAACTGGGAATGCCACTGAAGAAAACCCCTGGCTCTCACTTGAGGATAGAACATTACCAACAGCCAGCCTCATCACCTGAAGGAAAATATACATGGGTGAAATATAATGCACTTTATACTAGGGTTGTCAAAAGTATGGAAAATCCCTGCTATAACAAATATCCCACTAATCTATAATGTACCTGCTCTGCTGTTCCATCAGGATCATTGTCCCATTGGAGGAGATGGACAAAAAACACAGCGTTAAACATGGCTCCTCTCAAACCCTCCACCAGCACAGAGTCCCCAGGCATTTCTCCGCCATCTTGTTTGGAGTAACTCTCTGTGAGCTGTGATCCAACTGCTTGATATAAACAGTTCCCAACTCGAGTGGAGAGAGGGCTACCACCACACATCGGAGAAACCACTGCATCCACCTAAGACAAGGGTAGGTAGATAGTAGAGTTGTCATAAGTATCAAAAATAAGGTACTAATTGACACAAAAACTTGTATTGAAACTTGATATTCATTTGAGTAGGTGTTGATACTAAAAAAAGTCGCATTCACAGGACAATAATGAATCTTTCCTGAAGAGCTTTAAAATGATCTTGAGCTGTATCAGAACAAATGTAAGAGCACATAGACCAGCATACACCCATGGACCACTATGGAACCTGAGGGATTACAGTGATAAAAGTGATGGATATAAAATACCACTATTATTTGGTCACGTTCTATTGTCTAAATAAAGAGCGTTTTTATTACTATTGTGGTATTGGAATTGGTATTGAGTACGCACCTATTCCTTAATATTGAAATCAAGTTTAAAATAAGGAACAGTGTGATTGGTCTAACAGGTATGCGCACTTTAAACTCGACCCCGCCTGGCTGTAATCAGGGCAGTCTTGAGTGATGTCACCAACTACTTAAAATTGCAATGGCCACTGAAGGCAGCATAGACTTAGATTAAGGTGTTTTTGACCAGAAAGCTGCTTATTTATACACTAGACTGTTTGCAAAAACCCCGGAAGTGTGAGTTCAAGCACCAGCCAATCAGCGAAGAGCCATACATTCTATGTTGGCAACGATTCCTTAGAACGAGGATTTAAAGCCGGAACAAAGAGAATGTTTGGTGAATTTTATCAAGGGGAAAGACGTTCTTGCCCTTCTTCCTACGGGATTTGGGAAAAGCTTAATATACCAGTTAGCCACTTTAGCGGCGCATTACATACGTCATGACCAAATAGCAGCGATTGGTTACATTAAAAAAAGTACCCGCCCACCGTCAAGGGGACGAATCCTAATGCTGCGAGGTCAGATGATTTCCACTAAGTGAAACCGGCTGATGAGTCAGGCTAGTTTATTTAACTAGTTTGCTGCAAAATGACCAAAAAGCACTAGGATCAGTAGATAATGCTATAAAAAATGTGATATACACAGTAACAAAGAGAGAAGATTTAGTGTTCATTTCAACTTTAAATTCTTTGAGCATGCAATAGCCAAAAGCTAATTCTTAAAGCACTGTGTTAATATCTCACCTGTTGTGTCTCGATGGTGCCTTGGAGGATGTTGACTTTCACACTTCCCCCAGTGTCTCCTTGGGGCGTGGCAGCTGTCTCCTCCTTTAAATCCATTGCTTCATCTGTATCTGAACTGTCCCCCCCTGCCGGTAAGTCCTGGATCAGCCTGTCACACGCCTCCTTCATCGCCCTCACTACTTTCTTCTTGTTGTCTATCAGCGTGATCTTCTTCAAACTCCGCCCCTCCACTCCGCCAAACGCCCGGACAGCGCTCGCTATAGCTTCGGCGCACAATTTCACGGGGATTCCAAACCTGCCTGAACTTATACAGGGCAACACTATTGAAGTGAAGTCCATTATTTCACATAGATCCAAAGCGGAGGTCACAGCTTTCTTTATCAATACCTTCTCACTTCCATCTCCTTTGCTATTCTTAGGTCCAACAGCATGTATCAACTTCTTGCATTTTAACTCACCTCCGCTTGTCACGACTGCTTCTCCTATCTGGATTTTTCCATAACTTTCAACCAAAAACCTGCTCTCGACCTGCACTTCACGACCGCCAGCTTTACTCAGAGCCAAAGCAACGCCCTCGTTGTGTTCTAAGTCCTCATTGGCTGCATTCACCACCGCATCTGCTTCCTGTTTCGTGATGTCACCCTGGCAAACTATAACTTCCAATTCTTCGTTCAGAACATAGCTAGCCACAACTTGAGCTTCTTCAGCTAAGTGTAAAGATGACATTTGTTCTCTGAGTTGCGCAGAATAGATTTTTTGTTGTGATGGAGAAATCTCACTCAAGTCAATACTATGAGACGCTTCTACTAATGCTGGTGGCTCCTGTTCTTCTTGTATTCTGCCTATCATTTGAGTAATAATTTCAAACAACTCTTTAACTTCTTTGATGTGACCCACTAGGCAAATAATATTTTGAGATGAAGCCAGCACCTCCACTCTGCACGCGTCACGGTTCATTCTCATTATAATTGGTCTAATTTTCTGTCGTAATGAATATATTTCTGACAGGTTCGCAAAAGGAATCTCTTCTATCTTAAATTTTGTGTGTAACGCATGTTCAGTTTCATCCAAGCTTGAAGAGGAAAAGGAGACAAGTCGAAGATCTGTTTCTCTAATTTCAATTTCCACTTCAACGCCCAATCCTACAAAATCATCAAGAGTTCCTGCTTTGCTCAATGCTTTCTTACAAAAGGCTAGAAAATATGGATTGAAATCAGATAGTGTCTTTTCTATCACTTCATTGTCAAGATCTGCAATAAACTCATCTGCTTGGAGTACGGCTGTTGCATTGCCTGTAAGAACCAACCGCCCTCCCTCTTCGCGAGACACTTCCACCTTTGGGAATTCTTGCTGCAAACTATTTTCAATCCGATTCCACAAAAGCCTTAATTTTGCCTCACCAAGTGTCCAAACTAAGCGCTTTGTCTTGGAATCGCAATCTTCTTGCAGCAAGTTCAAAACAGCGTTAACCTGAGGGATTTCTCCAACTACAACAGCCAATCCAACATCACTATAAACTTTTACGTCATCTTCGGTTAGAGAGCTGCTTGATCTGAGCAACTGTTGTATTTTATGAGGATCCATTTCAAAGTGACACATGTAATGATCTTTTACCATCTCAAAAAGTGTGGAAATTTCTGTTTTCCAGTTGTCATCGCTATAACTGCGACTATCACCCCTCCTCACCACAGCTCTCTCATCTTCTGGGTACAGGTCAGCAGTGCAGTTCAAAAGTCCTAGTTGTTTATGGAGCCATTTCTGAGCTTTGAGGCAGTCCTTTAGGTAGTGAAGGAGGTAGCGGTCCACTTGTAGTTCATAATTTTCACCACTGGGAGGAAGACTTGAGCCAGTATAGGTCTGTATCAAAAAGTACACATAAAAACAGTCTCACAATAATATCCTGGACCATTACAATAGCCTATATCAAATTACAAGTCTCTTTGCTTAAATTCATTGTTATGGTGCAGCTATAGCTTAAAAAAACAGAGGAAACTACATAGACCATGATGTGTTGCTCCATTTCAGACATGAAGAAACATGAAGAAATAACAGTTATTAAGCACTTTAAAAAAAATCTTAATTCTTTAGAATACATTTTTTTTCTTAAGTATTATGAATTTAACTGTGTTTTTGTAAAATGAGCAGTTCAACATATCATAGGCACTTACTGATGACAGATTTTGGTAATAATTAGAAACCAATATTAATCTAGATTATCTATACTGGAATAATTCTCCTAAGGACAAATATTGATTAAAATACACCAAATAAGTATAAAATCTTACCACGAATATTTTCTTAAACTCATTCTGGCCTAAACTCATTTATACCTTTGTAGTAGTTGCACATTTGGATCCACTGGCTTCAGGTGGTACTTCATTTGGTCCTTCAGCTGGTCTCTGGTTGTCACTGGTGGAGGGGGAGGAGAGGGAGGAAGAGGGGGACACTTGTGCTTCTCGGACAGAAAACTTGAGTGAAGCATTTCCAGTCTCCACCGTGTGTTCTTTCCTACGGAGAACTTCATGTTGATCTGTAACAATGATATTAACACACATATTACAATTTTAAACTGTGAAAGAGCAAATTAATCTCTATTAGTGCTTAGAACCAACAACAATTTATTAATGTAACTGTAAGTAGCCTGCATTCTTATAGTTTAAAAAATGTACTACAATCACAAGTGAACCCAGGTTACCAGTGTCGTAACCTATAGATAGAGGACACATACAAGTTTTTCTGCAGGTGCTGGACTGGATTTCAGCATTGAAACTGACAACCCAAATGAAAGAGTCATGTGAAGCTCATTCTGCTTTATGATTGAATAACCGGTTTGAATCAAAACATTCTTATCTACAGCATAAACAACTTGACCATCACGTTGAATGCTTTTGTTAAATCAGCATTAAAACTGTTATGCGTAAAAGCTGAATTTGATTGCACATGCATTTAATAAAATATTACAATTCCTTCGATTCTATGTGTATTTAATAATCGCGACAAAACTAAAATAATATCAACAGTTTATATTACCTCAGACAGTAAAATACTGTGTTGGAATTTCCCTCTAAGCTCATTTGTTTGGTGTGTTAGATTAAAAAGGCATGGCACTAAACAAAAGGATATTTCTAGTATTCACAACAACATCTTTTGAATAGATTACAGTCAGGTACATTCAAATGTGATGTGAAAATATGTCAGTCCCCTGTTTTAAAATGACAATATATTACTCATTAAGAAATGCCCAATTTTAAAGTACATTGTGTAACTTTTCTGGTGGAGACGCTTTTCTCCATGGAGATGTTATCCCTTTGTCTGGACAGTGTGGAATTAAACCTTTAAATCTTCATGGAGATCAAACCAGGTAAAGTTACAGGTCAGATCTGTGGAGAGGCAACCCTTCTCATAGTCAGGATGCCGTTTTTCTAGGTATTTTTGAGCTATAAAACCACTTCTAACTTAATAAATGTAAGGTTAAGCTGTTTAATATACATTCCAGTAACATATCCAGCACAGTGACATAACCACTGAAACACGCAGGTGGCTGACTCCCAACCAAAAGGGTACATAGTGCACCTTTAATTATTATACTAAATCTACAGTATGTAAGTAGATTATTAAGTGCACTGTAGAAATGACATGATATTAGGCCTACATTTTACATCTATTACGTTCTTTTTTTCAATGTCTTTTTTTTTCCACTGTACAATTCCAGTCAGGGTAAGGCATGTGGAAAGAATTCTTAAAAAATGTATTTAGTTACAAAATACTGAATACCTGCATTAAATTTATTTTGCAATGTATTCTGGTACATGGTCCAGTCAGAGTACTGTATTCTGAATATTTAGAAAACATTTACATTGAGTCGCATTTAAATTATAGTGTAAAGATACAACCCAGGATTGAAAACAGTTAGTTAATAGTTAAATTAGTTTGACCTTTTGATATGCATGGGAAGCTAACAAGAGCAGTGCTTTGTAGTTTCCTCATTTAGAAGAGCAAAGACCTTTTCATGTTATCGTGCCTTTTAAAGTTATTGTTGGAGGCGATTTTCAGTCACTTAAAATATTCAACAACAAAAAAATAAAAATGACAGCGAAGGCAAGTTTGGTGTCTTCCCACTTTCATGAATGTATTATTTCTTATCTTTAATTTGATTACTTTATCATGCTTTTATTATTTCAATACTGGGGTCGAAAATCACACTTTGACCTAGACACAGTACCAGCCCGCACTGCCAACAAGGTAGCATATCTAGAACAGATAATCTTTTTACAGTAGGCACACACAAAAATATCACTATATGCAATGTAATAAAATCATAGCTTTGCCTTGATTTCAGTTATTGGCTGATTTAAGTCATATTATGCAAATATGCCGCGTCCGCCTAGTTTCCACTTCCTCGAAAACGAAAGTGAAAGTTATCCGAAACCAGCTTGTTGATTTTTTTTCTCGTTTCATAATACATTTCTGGCATGCAATTTTATCAATCTTAATCACTTTATTGACAGTATATAAAAGTCATTTGTATAAAAATCGTACCTTTTTGCTGCTTGAACAAAATGCTGTAGACCCCCTTGTCGTCTTTTCGCAGCGGACTACTGTCTCCTCCGCCGGACTTACGACGGTTACGAAAATACCGCTCGACCGTCCTCTCCTGGCCCGGGAGCAGGTCCGGGCACTCGAAAAACACCGGGTACCCGCAGCGGTCATCCATTACGAGTGTGCGCTAAATCATGGATGTGCAAGTTTGTTATGATCGTCTTCCGCGTTTGGAGGAAAAGTGCCACACCGCAGGGCGGAACTTGATCTGTTTAAAGGGCCCATGTTACGCTCTTTTCTGATCTGTGTTGTAATATAAGCTAATAAAGACACAGTAATAATAAATGGTTACTCAAACATGTGAATGAAACAAAACACATTAGCTCAAGAGTCAATTTTGTGTAATACAGGGGCCCATATTACACTCTTTTCTAATCTATTTTATGATGTTGTTTCCTCATTATAAACATAGTTGTTGAAGTTGTTGTTTTGATTCTTTCACACATGTTTAACACATAAATCCTGCATGTTTGAGGTGAGTTCTTCCCTCAAACAAAAAACACTCTATCCCACTGTGTTTTAAACTCAAAACGTCTTCACTTGAATCATTTGGATGATTTCAGCCTGAGAATTGTCATCTCAACTGAACTAAAGGTAAAAAGTAGCTGTTAACTTTAAAACCACACCTTCATGACATTGCGAGGTGTAATAGAGCATTTTGAGTTTGGGAGATTCATAATGCAGGGTTAAATGAAACAAAACACAACTTCTGGCATGTTATGAGGAGGTGACATGACTAAAAGCTCACAAGAGTATTTTTTGTATAATGTAGCACCTTTAAAAATTAGGAAATGAATGATAAGACTGTACACAATAATATAATATACAGGCACAGACTAAAAAAATATAGTTGTGTTCCTGGGCAACACACTTCATCCACACTGCTTGTAGATGTGCTGAGTGAGTGGTTGGTGATATTGGAGACGTTACTGGTGCAGATTGGCCTTCCCATTTTGTTAGGTAGCCACAGGGCAACTGCGACAACCGAGTGTGGAAAAAAATGTCACAATGTAGTACTATGAGAGTTTAATCACTAATATTAATAAAACATATCGGTGGGATAGCTCAGACCAGCATACAGAGATGTGGGTAGTACTTAGATACATGAATTATGTTTAATTATTGTTGTTTTCAGAGTAATTTTCTAGCAGTATGCTTGTACTCCTGCTTGAGATTTTTTTTTTAATTAAAATAACAGTATTCTTACTTGAGTAAAAGTTTTGGTTCCTTTCCCACTGTGAGTAAGTGTACAAGTGACATAAGTTTTATGTTGACAATATGAAATGATTTTAACCTGTAATTTAGCACTGATCTTTAGATATAATGTTTTTTTGTGTGTCTATAATTTGAAGTTACCACATTTTTTAGCTATTTGTCATGTTTTTTTCCATGTTGTGACCAGGATGGGTAGAGCTGCTGGGTTGCAGTGAGCAGTGAGTACAGAGATGATGGAGGCAGGTTTAGTGTGGTCCTTCTTTTTATTATTATTAGTTTGATTCTCAAAAATAAAGGGCTCTGGTGCAAGTGTGGTGCACAACAAAAAGATGCAAGGAGGATGGGAACAGCAGATCTTCTCAGCAGAATACAGAATGTGCCTTATATACTTCTGGATAAAACCTCCAATAAAATAATGATTTCCAAATAAACCATATAAAAAACAAATACAAAAAAGATAAAACCCTAAAACCAAACACCTAATAAAATACAACATGAATAACTCAATTAAAAACAAGTGCCATTTTCCCCTCGATGTCCAACTTCTTGAGCTGGCCTGGAACTCTTAAGTGAATATTCCTACAGTAACAAACAGGCCATTCATTATGTTTATTACATTAACACCTGATTTATAATTTTAAGTTATGTCATGACAGTTTCTCTTTAATTTGCAGTTTCAGTCACGCACAGGTTCTGTTTACTGCACATGAACTTTTGACCAAGACTTTATCAAACCTTTAATAACAACATTTTTACCACACCCATTCTCAAGCACCATTACTCAAAGTACAGAACTGAAAAAGTAAAATAGTTTTTATTATAAGATTTGAAAAGTTACAACAAATATAAAGGTTAATCAGTGTAAGACATAATGCTAAAAACAAACAAACAAAAATAACATACAATTGTATTATTTCTTACATAACTGCACATAGATATATATTAGTGGCTCCAGTGGGTGCACTGGCTCCATTGGGTGTACTGACATCAGTGGCTGCACTGGCTTCAGTGGCTGCACTGGCTCCAGTGGCTGCACTGGCTCCAGTGGCTGCACTGGCTCCAGTGGCTGCACTGGCTCCAGTGGCTGCACTGGCTCCAGTGAGTGTACTGGCTATGTTACGCGCAGCAGTGAGTGTGCTGTTGGTCCGTGTCATTAGTGTCTCCACTTCTGTCATGAACTCCACACCATCTTGGACCATCTCTGTGGGTGAGCTCCACCTGTCAGACCCCCAGGCCCCCACCATGCCCCCTATGACCCCTCCCACCCCTGCACCTATCACTGCCGCACCCAGACACTGCCATAGGCCTGGAGAGCTTCTTTTTACAATAGCCACCATCACTCCCACTCCCAGAAAAGCCCCCAGCAAGGCCCCAACCAACGCACCCTCCATGTTTCTCATGAGTTTACTGTACACCACCTCTTTGGCTTTTTGTTGAATATCCGCCCAGGTCAGGTTGCTTGAAGTGGAAAGATTACTCATCTCTTGTTGAATTTCATTATCAATCATTGTCAGGAATTCATTGGTGTAGTATGTCCCTCCATTCCTCTGCACAGTTTGGTCGATGGTCTTGAGCAGCTCTCTGACTTGGTGATGGTTGTTCCTGTATGGATCCTGGCTGTTATTCCAGTATTTATTATCAAACACATGACAGCGACCTCCACATTTCTGAATCAGGGTGCTCAGGGCTCTATTATCTATGGCCCAGTCCTTTATTGTAACCCCCTCTTCCAGCTGGGCACCATGAGTGAAGACCAGTGTAGTGTATTTGAGAGTTTCCTCAGAGAAGTACTTGAGCATTAGATCCACAACAGCCTCCTCCTGTTTGGTGTACCTGTCCACTTTGAGCACCAGCAGAAAAGCGTGAGGTCCAGGGGCACACTCCTCTGTACATCTCAGTAGCTCAGGGCTCAGATCAATGCTTCTTGGGTTGGTGTCAAAGAATCCAGGAGTGTCCACCAGTGTGATGGTTTTATTGTTGATGTTTCTTGTTTCTGATTTACAGACCGGTGTCTCAGAGTTTGATTTATGTGAAACCGTGAACAAGTCTTGAACCCCAAAAATTGTGTTGGCCAGACTGCTTTTTCCTGTTCCTGTCTTTCCCAGAAGGACAATCCTGCTCTCACCTACAAAAAGAAAGATAGAGTGCAAGTCCAAGTTTGACATTTGAATATTTTCTTCAGAATAATGTTCATTGGAGTGTTGAGAACATGTGCTGTTTGGACAGTGCAGGTTGTAGTTGTCAATATGAACAATTTAGTTATTTGATGTATAAAATCAGATTAAATTATACAACAATGGTTTGTTCAGTAGAGACTGACAATTCCAGGGCTGAAATCATTCAAATGACTCTAGTGAATGTGTATGGGGTTTACGCAGTAAAGTGCTTCCTGTATTACCACTTGACAACACAAGGTGGAGCAGAGTGTTTTCAGTCTGAGAGAAAAACTCCGCCTAAATATGCAGGATATGTGAGTTAAACATGTGTGAATAAAACAAAACACAACTTTGGATATGCTTTTCAGGAGGAAGTAACATTATAACATAGATTTTTTTAAAAGAAAGCGAAATATGGGAACTTTATTATTGTTTTCAAACTTGAACCGAGTTACACTATCAACATGAGTGACAGATTTATTGAACCAAGCAAAACTAATCATAGTGTTAACAATTAAACAAACATAAACCACCCAATGCTTCACAAAGTTTAAACATTCTTAATTTCAAGGGTAAAGGGTGTTAAAGGGTGTGGGTCGGAAAAAGAGAATGAGGAAACATTTGTGCAGGGTCTCGTGCAGGGTCTCGTGCAGTTTTAGCTGCGGCCTATCTGTTGACGAAGTACAAGCAGTGACTCTAAAAGAAACAAACTGGAGCTTACCTTCCATCGCGCTCTGCTGTTGTGCTCTCAAACCCGCAAAACTGTCAGAAAATAAATTGCGTCAGCAGACAACTTTAGTTTCACTTTTAAAGCTGAAGCAACAAGAACAAGCCCACAAGATTAACCCGTTAATGCCCACATTTTTCCCAAAGATGAAATTATGAAATTCGTGTCCCCTTTGTAGTACTTTGGCATTATTGAGTATTATTTTCTATGAACATTGTTAAAAAGTGCATGAAAAAGTTTGCTTTATGGTCATTCACAATTGTGAGCTGTGGGCTAATACCTTATATTGTTAATTAAAGGTGCCATAATAGATTTTTTATCAATTTAAGGTAAAAAAAATACTCTCTATTTTTACTTTAATCACTGAGAAAGTATACACATTTATTTTTAATGACATTTTAACATTTTAATAGCAGGTGGAAGACTTTGGAGGTTCCTCAATAGTAACTAAATGACCCTAGATGTTCTTCAGACATGTCCATCGTGCAGGACATTGGATGTTCTTTAGATTTCTCTCCATTGCTCCATGCTCTATCTTTTAGGTGGACAACATGCCAGGTTAATTATTATTAGGCATTCTGTTTGATACAGGTCTATGTAAGTTATCATTATACTAAATCCAATCAACAAGCCTGTAGTGTGGACACACATTAGAGATTGTGTTTTTAAATGTGTGCTGATTAAAATGTGTAAACTCAAATAAACTCTCAGTATTTGAATTGTAAAGATAAACTATTAATGGATAAAATATACAGCATGCTTTTCAAAATGGATGTGTGTCCGCAAATATTTTAAATGATTGGGTTTATTATATTATTATTATTATATATGATATGATATATGATATGATATTATATTATATTATATAAAATGATTATGATATTACTATGAAGCCCACAGCATGGCAAAATCTATAAGACAAGTAGCAACATAGCCATGCCAACTTGAAATGTGTTATTCAGAAATAACTTGAGCCAAACAAATGGTCATCTCAAAGATATTTTTGGGAAATTGTGTTTATTAATTCATAAAACATATATTGGTACAGAAACTTATTTTATTACACAATAACACATACATGATAACATTAAGGTGCTTTTACTTCTTTTTTTATTGTCCCATTAGGGGGATAGATTAGGGGTGAAGAAAGAGACAAAGACTTTTTATGCCTTATTAGTTACTGTTAATCCACTTTTAAGGAAACATTTGAGAAAGTATACTTAAAGGGGCACTGTGTTGTCTTTTCTGGTGGAGTTTTGTTTCTGTGTTGATGTTGATGTCATTGCCTTACCTGGAATGTTCCACAATATGGCGTTAAACATATCTATCTCCATGAATATGACAGGTGACACCACCAGGCCAAATTACAGGCCAGATTTGTGGAGAAGCAAGCCCACTCACAGTAAGAATGTATGTTTTTCATTGTATTTTTGAGCTGTAAAAATACTTGTAATTTAAAAAGTACAAGATAAGTTACTGAGACCATTCTGAGGAAGATGCCAGTCAAATCAATCACCTCGAAATGAGAGAGGACTATCTACAAGAATAGTTACATAGTGCACCTTTAAAGTTTTCTTTACACTGATTGTAACTGGCAAGGCTAAACATGACTGGCCTATTGTCTGTATATCTATAGACTAGGATAGGAGTGATGAGTTTAGAATGGCCTAGTACTGATTTTAACGCTCTGTCTTATTCATTTTAACAGAAGAGTAAAATAACAAATGATTTTGACTTTGTGGACAGTGTAGATAAATGATTGCTCTATATGTTTGTTACATTAGCCTACGAGTAAAACAAGCCAAAATCTAACTTCAAGCTCCAGTTTCTAAAGTTCACTCGTATGCAGGATTTGTGGCGTTTGATGAAATGAAACTACTGTCAAACTACTGTGACCTGCTATATTTGTCGTGCACATTTGTCCAGCATAACATTAGATTAAGACGTATGCTAACTTCAGCACTAATCGTTAAATTCATAATCTACAGACAAAACAGAAACAGCGCTACACGTGATGTTTTCTAATGAATCTCTGGTGTTACTCAGGTGAGGTGAGATAGTTTTGTGAAAGAGGGTGTATTTTACTTCCCTGGGGTAACTGCTAACACATAACATACTTAAATCAACATGTTACCTTCTTCTGAAAATGCCACATTCGCCGAGAACAACATATTAACATAATTTTTAAGTCTTCCTTCCCTTTGCTCTCTGTGCTAAGTTCCTCTCCTTCAAAGCGTAATCACAACACAATCAGCGTGCAACCTGCTAATGAAACCACTGCACATCGCATCTGGTTTGTCAAGTTGTTGGGTGTAGTTTTGTCTCATGTTTTTGTATATTTATGGAGAATTGTCATGTGGGAGCATGGATTCTGGGCGGGACATTGGACAGAATCTTAAAGCTAACCATAAGGAGGGTTCAAATAAAGCTCATGAAAGATCACTAGATTACTTACTAAGATAACTTGCATGGATTACATCTAAATTTAAACCTGTTTACACGTTTGTGATGAAGGAAGAACCTTATAACGTGGTAGAAAACTCAAAAAATAATGTATGGAACAGTATGAGTTAATATACCCTAATGTTGTTGTTCTGCTTTCAAACACAGGAAGAGTCTATTGAAGTTTTTTAGAAAGATCGTCCAGGAATGCCTTGACTTCGGGTGATTTGCTCCACTGTCTGCCATATTCTGAGACATACGCCCCTGTAATGCCCCCTGCTGACCCTGCCACCGCTGCTCCTGCCACCATCCCCACTGTCGTCTTTACGGCCACAACCCCAACCATGAACCCCACCCCTAACAGAGCACCCAGCAAGACCCCGATCACCACACCGCTCATGTTGTTCAGCATTTTTGTATACACCTCATCTCTGGCTTTGTTCAGGACATCCCAAAATGTGACACCTCTGGATGGATTCAGCCGGGTGCCCTGTGCCTCCTGTTGTAGGAAATACCAGATGCGTTCGAGCATGCCATTGGTGTAGTATCGACCTCCGTTAAGTAATATTGTGTAGTCGATATTCTGTAGCAGTGCCTCCACCTGGGCCTGGTTGTTTCTGTACGGGTCCTGGCTGTTGTTCCAGTATCTGTAAAATAAATGTTACAAATGTGTTTATAGCATATTATTGGGCTGGGATTCTGAAAAGGTGCCTTTTTTGTTTGTTTGTTTGGTTGGTTGTTTTTTTTGTTTTTTTTTTTGGTGTTAAAGTTGAATTGTACTTGTAAATGTGTCAGAAACTTATTTAGTAGTGTTTGTTAATGTGTGTGTTGGGTCACCATGGTAACTAGGCTACTGAACATTCTGCCATAGACATACATCCCCGTCATTGCCCAGTTTGGGACAGTTTAACACTTTCAAACTTGTTCATTATATGTCCTGTCTGCTGTAGCCACACGTATTGCTCAGCTTAAATTAATATAAATAAAAGCTTGACTATTTCAGAGTTTATTCATAGAAATAGAAACTAAAATATGTTTGTATTTGACCACAATAGTCAAAGTTTGCTGCTTTAGTTATGAAGTCAGACTTAATTCAACTCTACTCTGTTTTATAATGTTTAATAAAACTGTTCCAAGAGTTCAAAAAGTAAATTTGAGGTCTTTGCCAAATACCAATAACAGTGACTAATAGCGATAGTGTTTTTGCAGTACCTGTTGTCCAACACGAAACAGCGGCCTCCACACTTTTGTAGCAGCACCCTGAGACTGGAGTTCTCATTGGCCCAGTCTTCAATACGTTTGCCCGCCGGGAGGTCCTGTCCATGAGTGAAGACCACTGTAGCAAATCGGAGCGCGTCATCTGTGAAATATGTGAGAATGGTGTCGACCACGGCCTGCTCCAGACGCGTGTACCGCTCCACCTTCAGCAGAATGAGGAAAGCATGGGGCCCGGGAGCACATAGTACGCTACATTTTAGGATCTCAGGACTCAGCTCAGTGCTTCTCGGGTCTGTGTCAAAGAAACCTGGAGTGTCGATGAGATGCAGGTTCCTCCCTCGGGCCCGTCTGCTGAGAGCCTGACACCGGCTCGTACCAGAGACGGACGAATGACAAACTTCAAATACTTCTTGACCAAGTATAGTATTTAATGAACTGCTCTTCCCTGAGCCTGTTTTCCCCAAAATCACGATTCTTCTGGGCTCTGGAAAAGAACAAAACATATTTACACTAGAAACATAGCAGTGGCAGTATTGTTTATAGTAGAGAACTAATATAGAAAACCTGGTTGTATTGATACTTAGCAGTTATATCACACTGGGAGTGTTCTACATTTATCTCTATGGTGGAATATTCAATTCAGCAGTTCAGCAGTTCCCAAGGTGACACAATGCACACATTAGCAAACACTACCAAAAATGTTTGCCTGAAAACTCATGAAAAAATAGAAAACATATTTTCAAATGATATATATTATATATTTCATTTTTTAATTTTTTTTAAAGGAGTATTTCTGTGGTTATTCAAATCTGAAGTGCTATGTCCCTATGTAAAAACAGCCTATTTGTCAACAAAGCAATTTGCGGTTCCTTGAAAAAGACAAGAAAATTTCCCAAAAAACATGAATTTAAGTATACATTTTAAAGTTAAGGCTTCAGATTTTAGATTCTAACCCATAGTCCATAGTCTGAATAGTCTGCAGTCTGAAAAGTGTAACAAAAGGAACCAAACATGCCTTGTGGGAAAAAATAAAACATAAAAATAGAAAAAAATTATAACTTTAGAAATTCCCGAAAAAAAAGTAGATTTCAGGCCACAGTGACAATTTTTTTTAAAAACTATAGGGGAAATTTGTGATCAAATAGACAGTTTGGGCTATGGGCCACATGTTCAGTCCAAAATGACCTTGGAGTGTGTGGGATTTAGAGCTGAGAAAATAAAGACCTTACTTAAAGGTTGTATAGAGGATTTTCCAAGGAACGAGAAATCCAGCGACTGTTTGTCCTTTTTCAAATGTATGCGCAACATTTGAAAAAGGACAAAGTAAAAAAGAAACAAAGTAAAAAAGTGGCCACATTGAACTGTCTTGGTCTGCCTGTCTTGATCAGCGAATGGGCGCAAACACTTCAGATTTACTGGTGGCCAGAAAAGAGGGATGGACATTATTATTATATTAGTAGAACGCACGTAAAATACGCGGATTGTTCTAGAACGTCATTGCGTCGTAAAAAGTGGCGCATTTTGGTGAATTTTCGGCGAAAAAAGCGGCGTCATATCTGACAAACGGCGTTTTTTGTGTGTGAATTTATATCGAAACGCGACTGCCTGATGAGTACATGGCATTATCGGCTTGCCATAAAGCGCGGAGCTTAGGTCGAGTTTCATAAATCCCGCGGTTGCCGTAAAGAGCGCCTACGCTTTATAGCTTTATAAATGAGGCCCTTGGTCAGAATGGTAGAGGACACTGCTTTATATCTAAAGTTCAAACTACAACGAAACTACTCTGAAACTAACACACCTACTTGTTTACAGTTTCTGTTTGTTAGGGTCATATTAGCATAATCGTTCAGGCCGCTTTCACACCTCTGGACCTGACGTGGCTATCGCTATTGTTTTCTTTGTTTAGATTTTTTCAATTCTCATACCTAAATCAAAACAAAGAAAACAATAGAGATAGAAAGAAGCAGCTTGGAGGAGCTGCGAAACGTATTTGACCAAAAAACTTTTGTCCAGTTGACAAATAGAATTTCTCATACCATTACAAATATATAATAATATTATTCTTTGACGATTTTATGGCAATTTCAAAAATGAAATACACAAACATTTTCAAAACGGTACGGGGGTAAATCAAGTAAATTTAAGTGAGAACCCACCTCTGGATAGAACTAATAATGTTAGACACTACTCGCACAGTTATGAAATCATTTTTTGTTTTTCATCTTACCGTCCATATTGCGGTTCACTTCCTCCACTGCGAGGTCCATTTTGTCTTTGGGTTTGTCTGAAACACTTCATTTCCCTTTGAGGCAGGACAAGGAGGAGGAGTAAACAGCCCCCAAGCAGGTTTAGTGGACAGGGAAACTTTGAAATGTGATTTACAGGAATAGATCCATTCTGTGGGTTTTGTTGAATCCGCACTTTTTTCATTAAGGTCTAGACAACGCAGTTTTGTCAAGATACAAAAATATCTAAATTTCAATGTATTAGCCATTTCAACAGAAAAAAGGGCACTTTTTACTTTTCAATCCATCTGAAATGTAGTGAAGTAGAAAGTAGCATACAGATACCTGCTCTCAAATGTAATGAAGTAAAAGTAAAAAGTATCCACTGTAAAAAATCATTTAAGTAAGTTTGAGTTATCTTTTTGGAGTGCACCCTTAAATTACTGGGGCAACTTGTTAGCAGTCTCCAGATCTTGGGCTAGTGTGCAATTGGGCATGTTTTGGGTTGATAGGGGAAACCAGAATGCCCACCTAAAGAGCCCACCCAGACATAGTGAGAACATGCAAACTCACCATCTTCCAGTCTGGACTTTTGTCAGCGTCTATGCAATTCAGTGTTATGTTAGGATAAATAATTAAGCTTAGCTGTTATAATCATTTCTATAGTTAATTATTGTACCAAGGTCATTTGAGGATAAGGACTCTGATCACAGCTGTGAGACTCATAGATATATGTCAAGACAAATGCATGATATACCAATCTATCTAATAGCAAACTAACTCAATGGGACAAGAACTACTGATAGGGATGAAGTCATGACTTGTTAGCCAGATAACAGCCCTGGTTGAACTGTGCAATGTGCCAAGAGGCCCGGCTGGCCAGAGCACCAACGAAGAGGCACTAAGTCTAAACCACGGTGTCCTCCCACTATAGTTTGCATATAAAAGTCATTGCATATGTGTAAAACATGAAGTCTGTGCATGGGAATGACAAACTTTATTGATCCACAAGGGAAATTATTTAGTTATTATTTTAGTATGGCTTAATATCTTATTTTCAATATGTTTGAAAACCTTAATACTATGTGCATGTTGATCTTGCTGATTTTGTGAGGCCAATGGCAATAACAGCTTTTTCCTTATTCAAAATGTTCCAGGTTTTCCATTCAAAAACATGCAGATCCAGTTCTGAGACACACTGAGACATATCCCAAGTAAGTTTAATTATAATTTAATAACAACAAAACACAATGATTTAGAATTTGAAGATAAAGAGAAACAGGTCATCTACATTACTTCTTGTAGCGTTCCTCATAAGTGACAGATGGTGTAGGGAACATGTCTTGTAGGCTGCTTAGTTTTGCATGCCTTCTCCAAGAGTCCATTCTGTGTGTGATTAGGTGAACACTCCCTCTGAGGAAGGCTACAGAAAGTACTTGAAACAGGTAAAAAAAAGAATCATGTTTTAAGGTTAGTTAAAGGGCCCATATTGTGTAATGTCGTTTCCTCATCAAAAACATACCTGGAGCTGTGTTTTGTTTTATATTTAACACACCAGTCTTGCATATAAAAGGTAGCTGTTAATGTGAAAACTACTGCTAGATGACATCACAAGGTGGAGCAGAGCATTTTGAGCTTTGGAGATGTAGACAGACAAATAATAAAGGGTTACTCAAACATGTGTGAATGAAGCCAAATACAACTTCAGGTATGTTTTTGATGAGGTGACAACATTTTAATATGGCTTAAAGCTCACAAGAGTAAATTTCACATAATATTGGACCTTTAACATGTTTCAGTAACTTTAAAAACTGATTTGCCACCTTCTAATGTTAAAAAAACAAAAACAAATAAAAAACATAAACTGTCAAAACCAGAGCTATACGTTCCATCTTTCCGAACCCTACTAACGAACATTAACCCTGCTCTTACTGCCTGATATTTCTAGTGAGTTCTTCAAAAGTCTGCTGCACTGCTTCATTCATTCACGCTGGTTGCTCCACGGGCTGCCTGATAGCCCGCCATTCCCCCTTGCAGTACTCCTCCCTGGACCGTAGACACCACTATATCCCTTGAAATCCCAGATGAACCAGCACTACTTTCCAGGTTCTCCAGAGTGGTCCTCATCATATCCACTAGCCCCAAGAAGGCCCCTATTAGTGCCCCTGTTGCTACTCCTGCTAATTTGATCATCAGCACATTGGCGATGCTAGTTCTGGCTTGTGATCTGATTTCAATTGGGGACATTTCGCTGTTTGATGCAGTTTGCCTGATCCTTTCCTCCTCTCTCTCTACCTCTTGCATTACTTTTTGAAATAAATTGTTTGTGTAGTAGCCATTTTTATTCTCTTTAACAACGCTCTCAACTGTACTAAGTATGTTTGCAACCTGAAAGCAGTTACTTCTCATCTTATCTTGACCAGGGTTGTTCCAGTGTTTGTTATCAACTACGTGGCATCTTCCTCCACATTTTTCAACCAAATTTCTTAGCGCCAGATTCGGTTGGACAAAATCTTCAATGGTTTGGTCTGGCTCCAGCTGATCGCCGTGCGTGAATACAACTATGGCAAATTTAAACGCCTCCTTTGAAAAATATTGGGTGATTTTGCTGATCAGCTCCTGCTCCTGGGTGGTGTACCTCTCTACTTTGAGCACGATTAGAAAAGCGTGGGGTCCTGGCGCAGTCTGCGTGAAGCATCGGACTAATTCTCTTTTAAATAGATCTTCGGAAGAGCAGGTGTCGAAGAAGCCTGGAGTGTCAATCAAAGTCACTGGTTTTCCGTTGATGATCCTGGATTCTGCACGACAGAAGTTCTGGTCTGAAACTGCAGCGTGGCCGATGTGGAAAAGCTTTTCTCCCAGAATGGTGTTGGCCAGGCTACTCTTCCCACTGCCAGTTTTCCCAAGCACCACAATCCGAGTGGAAGTTTGCGCTAGAAAAAAAAACAAGATGAATTCAATTTAAAGGTGCACTATGTAACTTTTTGGTTGGGGGTCCGTCCGTGCTTATTTCTATGGCTATGTCTCTGTTCTAATTGGAATGTTCCACTGTATGACATTAAACCACGTCTTCTGCAAAACCAGGTCAAAGCTTGATCTCATCAGATCTCAGCAAAAAACTGTTGTTGTATCCTTAGGCAAGACACTTCACCCACATTGCCTACTATGAAAGTGGAGTGTATGTGTGTAAGTGTTGGTGATGGTCAGAGGGGTTGATAGCGCAGATTGGCAGCCTCACTTCTGTTAGTCTACCCCAGGGCAGCTGGGACAGACTAACAGAAGTAACATCAGTAACTTACCACCAGTGAGTGTGAAGTGAATGACTAATGCTCTATAAAGTGCTTTGGGGGTGTTGAAAGGAACTGTATAAATGCAATAATTATAATTAAACAGCTCTACCTTACATTTACTCTATTACAGGTGGTTTTATAGCTCAAAGATATTTAGAAAAACACCCATCTGCCCTGGAACTTGGTCTGGTTTGGTCTCCATGAAGATAGAAATGTTAATGTCATACTGTGAAACAGTCCAGACAAAGCAATAACATCTCAGAAAAGCATTTGTCTGACCCTCCACCAGAAAAGTTACACAACGCACCTTTAGACCTGTTTTACTTGCGTTCACATGTCACAGGTACAAATATTATTCTGAATATACCTCTGCAGGTTTGTCCTTTTACCTGCTACATTCATGACATGTCTGTGTGCCTGAAGTCAACTACTGTAGGTCGAACTGCTTGTGTGTAATGTGATCAGCCTTCATTAGATCTTGTATAACTTATGCATTTTTTTTCACTATGCATTCTGGGTGCTCCAGTTGGATTTCATTCCAGCCACACCTAGTTCAGATTTGATTATTCAAACCATTTTGATTATTCAACCAGATTTGATTATTCAAACCATTTTCCTGATACTCCACTGTAAATAAACATCACTTTTCATAAGTTAGACAGAATGCGGGAGACGTTCTATTTTTCACGAGAAAAAAGTTGTAAATTAATGTTTCGCAGTTAGCAATTGCCAGTGATGTGCAGAGGAGCCAAAAAAAATTTACCCAAGAGTAACGTTCTTTAAAAAATAATAATACTCAAGTAGAACTACAAAACAGCGATCCAAGAAATGACTCAAGTAAAAGTAAAAAATATATTTGATTTTTCATTATGTTGAAGTAACGTTACTCTTGAGTATACTTTACATGTATTTATTTATTTATTTATTTGTTTGTTTATTTTTTTATTATATCCTCTCCACGCAGAAATCGAAAGTAAAAAAAGCCAGCAAGATTACGTTCGCGTGTTGTTTACAGTGTTGACATATTAGGCTAATTCATGTAATGTGATGAATGTAATCTACGTAAAATAAATGTAACAGTAAAAACAAGAATCTTATATGCAAAAAGTGAAAAAAAAGAAAGAAAACTCACCGTCCATGACTCTCTCTCTCTCTCTCTCTCTCTCTCTCTCTCTCTCTTTCTCTTCACCTCCTGCACACTGCGGTTACGTTTGCTAAAAGATTCAAGTTAATTTAAGTTTGTTTTTTTTGTTGTTGTTTTTTCAACTGCTTTGTCTGAGTAACCATGAGACAACCAAATAAGCTACAGTCTGAAATATGGTCGCTCTAAAATACTCTGTTGTCTTGTTAACGTTTGAAACTGGTCTAACAAGAAAAATTACCCTTCAAACCGGATTCTGGTATAGCTTTATTTATGTGCATGTGAAATAGAACTGAATGTGCCATGCCAATGTTGTCTCAATGTTGTTTTCCCCATTATATAAGGTAAAAAACTATTTGAATTCCACAGTATGGCATTACCGGCCCTATATTACACACTCTTGTGAGCTTTAAGCCATGTTAGAATGTTGTTACCTTTTCAAATTATATCTGGAGTTGTGTTTTGTTTCATTCACACATGGTTGAGTAAATCCTTTATTGTCAGTCTGTCTACACCTCCAAAATACTCAGTTCCAGCTTGGGAAAGAGGTAGTTCTCAAGTTAACAGCTACCTTTGACCTTTTGTTTCTGTAGAGATTTAAAAAAAAAAAAAAAAAATACATGCACACACACACACAAAACTCCAGGTATATTTGTGATGAGGAAACAACATTATAACATACATCAGAAAATACAATAATAAGGGCCCTTTGTTGTGGAAAATTTTCTTTTTAAATAATAGACATCCGTTGAAGCAAAAAAATACAAGTTTATTTAATATCTTTGCAAAGAGAGGCAGAGGACAAGTCTGTTCAATGCAGGGTTGTAACTCTGTCTGAACCAGCGTCAGACTCACAAAACATATATAGGAGTATCTAAGCAAGTATTACCAAAAGAAAAGGAAACATCTGCATCTGTGCTGGGTTATGATGCCCCAAAGGATAAGCAAGGACAGTTACTCCCTAATATGAGGAGAGCAGCTCTCTTTAAAACAGGATTTAAAACACACAATGAAAACTGTGAATAACTGCACGTAGTAGCAATAGTGGTATTTTCCCATTACACTTTTAAACTGAAGGCTATATCAAGTAATAAAGCTTCTTAGGCGCACCACATGCAATAAAAAACATAAATTTGAATAAATGCAAGACAGGTTTAATGCCACACTAAGAAACATTACAGGCAAAGCAATTAAGTCTCTATGGTGACAGATCCCCCATGCTAATTTTCACCAATGTTTTTTGTGAGACATTAATCATAGAACACATGCAAAGTTCACTGGTTCTTTTATTTGGTAATTTATTCATTTATTTTATTCAGAGGAAATAAAATCACTGTTGTTTTTTGTGATCAGGTTAAAAAAAAAAAAAAAAAAAAAAAAACATACTGAAAAACCTTAAATGATTAATGGTACATCAAATAATCACATTGACAACTTATCTGAGACATATCAATTACACAGACAGAATAAAACTGAATTTTACAAACCATAATGAATCTCTTTACAATGTGGTGTTTTATCCCCTCAGTCGGTTTTTGATAAAAATGACACTGTGATTCCATTTGTAATTTATATACTTTTTTGGGAAGCAATAACAATGACATAAGACTGAAATATGAACTGGTGAATTAACAGATGACTCTTGTGCATTGCAGAACACGTTTGTAGAGGTCTAAACTACAAGATTAGCTGTTTTTTTTTTTGTATTTTATTTGTTTGAAGAGCTACAGATCGACTCTTGTGATGTTTAAGACATGTTATAATGCTTTTACCTCCTCAAAAACATACCTGGAGTTGTGTTTTGTTTCATTCACATGTGTTTGAGTAACTCTTTATTATTTAGTCTGTCTACATCTCCAGAGCTCAAGATGCTGTGTTCCACCTTGTGATGTCATGTAGTGGTAGTTTTCAAGTTAATAGCTCCTTTTACCTTTAGCTCAGTAGAGATTGGCAATTCCAGGCCTGAAATCATCCAGATGATTCAAGTAAAGGAGTCTGGAGTTTAAAAACACAGTGGAGCTCTTATTATATTACCACATGACATCATAAATATACAGGGTTTGTGTGTTAAACCTGTGTGAATGAAACAAAATACAACTCTGGGTATGCTTTTGGTAACATATATATCAGTACACAGAAAAAATATGGGTCCTTTAAATAATTTTAAGTTGTATTTTTGATCACGATAACTCTTGTCTGTCTTACATGGGCTGCGTCTTGTTGGAGTTAGACCACATGCTACTTTTGAGCACTGCTTCTATGGTTTCTATGATGTAATCTAAAGTAGTTTTTATCGGTGTCACTACTTCCTGTACCACCTCCACCACTGAAGGAACCAGCGCCTCATTTGCACCTGGGCCTGACCCTGACATCACTTTACCCCCTCTGAAAAAACTTACCATTTGAGCCATCAGAATATACGAGACAACGGAAAAACCAGCACCAATTAATATATATTTCAGATAGCGCTTTCGTTGCTGTGTTTGTATGAATTTTTGAAGGACTATTTGCTTTGCTTCATCTCTGCTCTCCTCCGCAGAATTGCCTCTCAACTTGCGAATACGTTCTTGCTCTTTTCGAATATCGGCTTCCACTTGCTGTAACTTCGAATTAATGAAGAAGCCATTGTTGTTTTGTTGACACGTCATATCGATTGAACTGAGGATCTCTCTCCTTTGAAACGTGTTGCTTCGATATTCATTTTGCTTGGTGTTTTTCCAGTACTTGTTGTCAATCACATGGCAGCGTTTACCACATTTCCGGACCAATTCGCTCAGCCCTTTGCTCTGAGCCACGAACTCACCAATTTTCATCGTTTCGGGCAGCTGGTCTCCGTGAGTGAAGACTACCGTGGTGTATTTGAAAACCTCATCACCGAAATGCGTCTGAATTTGATCGACGATGGCTTGTTCTTGCTCTGTAAACTTCTCCACCAAAAGTACGAAAATAAAGGCGTGGGGTCCGGGCGAGCATTGGATCAAACAGCTAAATATCTCACACTGAATTTCGTCACTGGAGCGGTCGGTGTTGAAAATACCAGGGGTGTCAATCAATGTCAACTTCAGTCCGTTCACAGTTCTAGTTTGGGCCTGGGAGAATTTAGATCTAGAGTCACTGCTGTGGTTCACGTCGAAAGTTTGAGCTCCGAAAATGGTGTTGGCCAGGCTGCTTTTTCCACTGCCACTTTTGCCAATCAGGACAATTCTTCGAGTATTTGAGTCTAAAAAATAGATATTAAAAATGTGTATTAGGACTACCAGAAAACAAACTGATTTTAGTTTAATGTAGGCCGTGTCTCCCATATTGCACAAAATTGACTCTTGTGAGCTTTAAATCATGTTATAATGTCGTTATCTTCTCAAAAACATACCTGGAGTTGTATTTTGTTTCATTCACACATGTCTGAGTAATATTTATTATTAATCTGTCTATATCTCCAAAGTTCAAAATGCTCTGTTCCATCTTGTGATGTCGTGAAGTGGTAGTTTCAGGTTAACATATACCTTTTAACTTTATCTTAAACGAGATTGGCAATTCCAGGGCTGAAATCATCTAAATGATTCCAATGAGGGGGTATGGGGTTTAAAAACACAGTGGAGTACTTCTTGTATTGCCACATGACATCACAAGGTGGAAGGAACAGAGAGTTTTCTGTTTGAAAGAAGAGCTAAGCACAAACACGCAGGGTTTGTGTGTTAAACATGAATGAAAGAAACAAAACACAACTCCAGGTATGTTTGTGATGAGGTAACATCATTATAACATGACTTAAAGCTCACAAGAGTCAATTTTGTGCAATATAGGACCTTTAAACCTGTACTTGTAAAGGAGTATAATTATAGCCAAGTAATTGTAATTAGTAACATTTTCCAGGCCACATCTGTCTCTGTTCCTTTCTGTACCCACAAACACACACAACCACAGTGGATCTCCTGCTCTGATAGGGCAGAGATCAGAGAATATGCAGACTCTGTTTTAAAAGGACTGCATTAAGTTTTGTTTGAAAGCCTGATCTAAAATTGAATTATAAAGTAGACTATTTTTCATGCGTACTTTTAACTTTTACTTAAATACAGTTTTCGGAAACAATGGGCGACTTGTAACTGAGTACATTATTAGCCAATTAACCGTACTTTTACTGAAGTACAAAATTGCACAGCCCCAAACATGGAAAATGTTATACCTATAAAAATAAGGAATAAGCAACAATACAAAGACTGTACTTTATATTACACTATAATCTAGTAAAAGTAAAATCACAAGACACGATTTCTCAATTTGAATCACTAAATATGAAGTCTGCGGTTTTACTGCCACAAAAGTGGTAGTACTCAATTACTTTTCAGAGCACTTATGGTAGTATACATTTACTCCTAATTGAGTAATATTTTCATTGAAGTCACAGTACTCCTACTTGAGTAAAGGTTTTGGTGACTCTTGTCTACAAGTGACAAAAGTTTCTTGCGCCACTTCTTCGATAAAATGTAGTTATGTATTAACTTCAAATCAGAAATCAATCAATGTTACAGTTACTCCTTACTCCTTCAGTTGTAGGTAAGAGAAGGCCTAGAAGTTATCCCAAATATATTTTACTCTTACCTGAGTCATTTCTTGGACCACGACTTTGTACTTCTTCTTTAGTAACATTATTTTGAAAGTAGCGTTACTCTTACTGAGTACAAGATTTGACTACCACCTCTGGTAAATGCGCATTACATAAGAGATGAGGTTATTATGTGTCATTATTATGAACATTAGGGGGAGTACGAACAACACAAAACAGTTGTGCACTAGAGGCTATAGCCACACGGGATAGGATTGTAAAAAGCGCATCGAGAAGCCCGCAAAACGTGCTAAAATACAGGCCTAAAAAAACGCTCTGTGCAATGAACCAGCTACTTAGCCTACTAATTAATCCACTCCAATTAATTAAACTTTGCAGTGAGGATCGACTCGAGCTACGTGGGTAGATATGATAGGCTACTGTATGTAAACTATTCTTGAAGTTAGGAACAAAACACTGCAGCTATAAATCGGTTTTGGATAGATCAGAGGACTTACCCTCCATGTTTGTAGAATCTTTACGGAAGTGTCTGTACCCAGATAGGTGGTCGTGCGTCGGGCGTCTCCTGGCTCTGAGATCGGGCTCTTTTTGCTTTCACTTCTGTTTTACGGGAAGTGGGCGTGTTATAGTCAGAGCACGTCGCATGGCTACGCCTACGTTGTACTGGTCCTGTATATTCTGTCGCCTCCTCTTCCCAAGAAGCTATAATCAGACATAGCAAAACAATCATATGTATGCGTGATATGTGATTGTAATCTCCTGTGACATCCTAATTATGTTTTAGATTTTTTGTCAACAATTATAACGGAAAATACGGACTTAGGCTACTAATTTTCAAAATGATAGCCAAATCCTCCAGTTGTAGGCCTACCTTTGTCCAAAACAGGGATTTTTTTAAAGCATTTCTGTCAAAGACATTTTAAAGAATCTATTTATGAATGTAACCCTGCATCTCAAAGGGCATTCCAATAAAATAAAATAAATAAAATAAAATACAACAAAAGAATATGACTATACTTGCAAACATTTGTGTATTAAAAATAATACAAAAAAAATATTATTCCAACAATATTTTTATTATTTAAGCATAAAAACACAACAATAACTAAAATTCCTCCAGAACCTTGATTTGCAGAACTACTTTCATGACTTCTTTGATGTTTGTTTTCATTTCCAACAAAAGTCATTTATCTGACTAATGCACAAAGCAACAAAAACATACAAGCTGGAATCCCAAAGTTTGTCCACGCAACACGCACATAAAAGAAAAATGAATTTGATATTTACAGAAATGTGTTACACTTACTATACTTTAAATTTTGCTTATTAATTATTATCAGATATGCAAATATAAGAGAAAAAACATGGCATAATCTTTAGAATAGAACATTTATTATGGTTGGAACCATGGGATCTTTAGATTGCCTTGATCTGAGACTCTTCCCCAGCCTAGTGTGCTTTTAAAACTACCATTCCAATGAAAACGGCGACACCAAGCACCACTGTGCCCAGACCTGATAAGATGGGCCAGAAAAATCAAAGGTGTTCTCTTTAACCTTCTTGAAGATGTCCTCGTCTGACAGTTAGACTTTCCTGGTGCTGCTTTGTACATTATTAGACAAGTGAGATGTGTCTTTTACTGGTAAGTCATGCAATTCAGGATTCCTTCGTAAAATCAGGGCATTGAATTGGTATCAAAAAAGACCAGGAGTATCGATTAGCTGCACATTTCTTCCATGCACTTGTTTTGATCTCAGACTGACACATCACTGTCCAATGTGGGAGGAGTGACAGACTTTAAACAAACTACCATCTTCAGTATAGTGTTGGCCAGGCTGCTCTTGCCGCTCCGGTTTACCCAGAAGCACATCCTCTGTCTGCTGCTGTTGGAAAAAATACAGAAATACATTGTTTGGTACTTGAACTGAATCCTTGCTTTATCAGTATGGAGTAGCCTGTATAACAGAAGTAGACCTTAAGATTCCAGATCAATGTTGTCTTTTTAAAAGTAACTTTACATTTCCCCAAATCCCCAAATCCCCATTTTTCATTGATTTTCAGAGCTTAAAAAATATGACATAGTGTTTGTTTCGAGCTATTCATACATCACAGTGTACATATCTCAAAATGGAGTGGGAAGGAACGGTGCTCATTTTACCTGCACATTGCTCTTCTCTCTCACCAACAATTGCAACTTCCAGTGATTCATATTCAGCAAAAAACAAGACACTTCACCACATACTTATGTGAATGTGTTGGTGATGGTCAGCGCAGATTGGCATCACAAGGTGGAACAGAGTGTTTTCTGTTTGAGAGAAGAGCTAAGCGTAAATATGCAGGGTTTGTGTGTTAAACCATGTGTGAATGAAACAAAACACAACTGTCTCTGTTCCTTTCTGTACCCAAAAGCACACATAACCACAGTGGATCTCCTGCTCTGATAGGGCAGAGCTCAGAGAATGTGCAGACTGTGGTTTAAAATGGCTGAATTAAGTTTTATTTTAAAAAAAGAAAAAAAAAAGCCTGGTCTAAAATTGCATTAAGTAGGTAGACTATATAAGTAGCATAGAAAGTAGACTATTTTTCAGGTATTTTAAGTTTTACTTAAATACAAACTTTGGGAACAACGGCTTACCTGTACTTGTAATTGAGTACATTATTAGACAAGTAATGGTACTTTTACTTAAGTACAAAATTACACAGCATGGAAAAACTAAAATATTACAAATATTATACCTACAAAAATAAGGAAATAAGGAATAGGCACCAGTACAGTGTACTTTACATTACACTATAGCCTAGTAAAAGTAAAATGACACAGTTTCTCTATTTGAATCAATAAATATGAAGTCTGTGGTTTTAGTGCAGAGGTGGTAGTCAATTACTTTTCAGAGCACTTATGACAGTATACTTTTACTCTTGAGTAATATTTTTCGTTTTACTTTACTCTTATTTGAGTAAATTTTTTTGGTTACTCCTCCTACTATGAGTAAGTTTACAAGTGACAAAAGTTTCTTGCATCACTCCTTAGATAAAAGGTAGTTATACATTAAGTTACTCCATCAGTTACCCTTACATGAGTAGGCTTAGAAGTTTTCCAAAATATTTTTTTTATTCTTACCTGAGCCATTTCTTGGTCAACACTTTGTACTTCTACTTGAGTAATATTATTTTGAAGTAGCTTACTCTTACTGAGCAGTTTGGCTACCACCTCTGGTAAATGCGCAATACATTTCAGAAGAGAAGCCCACAAAACGCCTAAAAATATAAGTTTAAAATAGGGCTCTCTGCAGTAAACCAGCTACTTAGCCCTACTAATTAATCCACTCCAATTAATTAAACTTTGCAGTGAGGATCGACTGAGCTACGTGGGTAGATATGATACTGTATGTAACTATTCTTGTAGGAACAAAACACTGCAGCTATAAATCGTTTCGGATAGATCAGAGGACTTACCCTCCATGTTTGTAGAATCTACGGAAGTGTCTGTACCCAGATAGGTGGTCGTGCATCGGGCGTCTCCTGGCTCTGAGATCGGGCCTTTTTGCTTTCACTTCTATTTTATGGGAAGTGGCGTGTTATAGTCAGAGCACGTCGGCTACTTGTACGGTTCCTTTTATTTCCCGCCCCCTAAACAAACTACAAGTAGCATGGCTAAACAATTAAATTTATACTAACACCCAAACCACAACCCTTAGTACAGGGGTCTCAAACTCAAATTACCTGGGGGCACATTAGATAAAGTCTGAGTGAGGCTGGGCCGCATTGTGTATTCGATAAGCAGCTGCACGGGAAAAAGGAGAGAGAAAGAACAACACGCAACACACTTTCTTAATCTTTAATAACAGTTCAGAACATGAAAATGTATTCAGAACGTAAGTTTAAACTAATACGTCTACTCTTCTTCTTTTGCCTACTCCTTGCTGGTTGAACCAGGCTACGCTTCATCTTGTACAGCTGAGAGATATTTGGCTTGCAGGAGGAAGCATATGAGATCCTCAGGATAGATTGAAGATGCTCATCAGTGAGCCTTGACCTGTATTAGGTGCTTTCACACCGACAGTATTTGGTGTGCACCAAACGATCCATTCGAACCAGAAGTGGTTAGCTCGGTTCGTTTTGCGTTGGTGTGAAAGCGTCAATCGGACTCTGAGCCGGACCAACTCAAGTGGACCGAGACCTCAAAAAAGAGGTGGTCTTGGTTCGTTGAATCCGCACCAAATGACCAACTTGGTGCGGTTCTTCTGGTGTGAACGCGAACCCGGGGTCCAAACCACAGACAGCAGGTCCAAACGAACTATTCTAGATGCATCATGGGAGAAACGCGTCTCCCTGCCTGTAATGACGCACTGTACGACCCAGCGCAGTAACAAATTGTGTCCAACGCAGCCGCGATTCATTTTCGAAATATTTTACCAACAATGGCCAATACAGAGAATGTAATACACGAAGATCAGAGCAAGTACGTGTGAACATGTGGCTCCAGAGTGAGTCAAAAATGGGGGTGTGTACTTCTGTTCAGGACCTGCACAGAGGTCCCGTGTTCCCGTGATCATGTAGGAACCAGCATTGTTATTTTAGGCTTTAATTAACCAAATAATTTTATGGCAATAGGCAATCGCCCATTCAATTGATTCACTTTTAATTAAAAAATGTCCTGCTTTTAGCCTAGTGTGAGAATACAGTCGGACTAGATCCAACCGGAGTCCCGAACCAGCAGGAGCAGCTCCGGTTCTGTCCGGGCTCAGATGACGTGGAGCGGGGAGTGAAAAGCGCTTTTCCCCGGGAAGAACCAAATGCGGACACAACTAAACTGGATTACGTTCTGTCCGGATGCTTTGCACCTTCGGAACCAGCCGCGGTCTTGAGCGGCGGAGGACAGGAGCAGCACAGACCTGTAGGTATATTCCACAGCGCATTCTCACTTTCCCCGCACGGAACACTGAACCAGCGCGCAGACGGCGGAACATACCCGCTCAGACCCAGTCATTGCGCCCTGGTCTTGCTCGCCACCGTCTGGAACCAGCACATGGAGGACAGAGCCTCCGGACCATCTGACCAACGCGCTTGTAGGACGACAGAAGACCAAGGACCAGACTCCAGCGCCGTCCTGAGGAGCTGCGCGCTACTGTGAACGCTGTTGGCTGCTGCTGTTACCCGAACTCTGGGCTGATGCGGTGAGTTTGTAGAAAGTTCTACGTTGCTGTTTTATGAGTTCATGGTGATAAGATGAGGACGGCCCGCGGTATTAACAGGGAACATCAGTATTGGTTACTGGAGATATCACTGTTCTACCGGGATACAGAGGCTCGTTAATCGGACCAGTTTTGGTTCGTTTGCCGGTGTGAAAGCGGACACACTGGAGTGTATCTGCTTCTCGTATGTCAAACATGGATGGAAGACGCTTATTTTTTGCCTCGTACTTTTTGATTAACATGTCGCCAAGCCTCTGGAATAGATCACTGCAGTTTTGTGGTGCTTGCATATTGATGGGACAGCTGTGTTTGCCGCTGAGTGCGCGTGGATTTCGGCGACGCACAGGTGGAGCTTGGTCATCGGGTTGCCAGCAAGTTACGCACGAGTATTGAGCAGGTAAACAGACTGTCAATGTCTTTTTATTTCTTATTAGCCCTCCAATAAAGGTCCCATACTTATGAACAGGGGATTCTGTCAGCGCCTCCTCTGCGCTCTGATGCTGTGGTTGTGGGAGCGTAAAGTGAAGTGCGCACACGTGTACCACCATGTGTGGTTTGTTTTGGTTCTTCGGTGACGCCGTATGTGCGCGTGTACTTGTATTAACAGATCCACTTAGACTCTTTGCTTCACAACTGCTGTAAATTGAGTTTTGGGATGCAAACTGCGTTAATAATCTGTTGTGAATCTGCATGGGCACCGATTGCAGCTTCATCTGTCAGTGCGGCCCGCGGTGGAGGGGGGTGGGATTGTGCGTACATCTACGCGGGCCGCACTGACATTATTCTTTGGAATCAAGTGGAGGGCCGCAAAAAATCCTTCCGCGGGCCGCAGTTGGCCCCGGGCCGCGAGTCTGAGACCCCAGCCTTAGTAGATAATAAATAAATAAAATAAATAAAAGATTGATTCCAACAATATATTTTTATTATTATTTAAGAATACAGAATAACAATTTAAAATTCTCCCAGACTTGATTTGCAGAACTTTTAGGACTTTTAAAAATATTGTATTAATCTCCAGGAAAGGTCTGACTGATCAGCAAAGCAGCAAGAACATACAAGCTGGACTCCCAAAGTTTGTCCACACAACACGTACATAAAAGAAAACTGAATTTGATCTTTACAGAAATGTTTTACATTTACTACAGCACGTAACTTTAGCAGAGTCATTACTATCTCTATACATATATGCATATATAAGAGATAAACATTACACTATCTTTAGAGCAGAATGAAAGAATAGAAAGAATAGAAATTGATTTGGTTTGAGACTCTTCCCCAGCTTAACGTGCTTTTAAAACTACCATTCCAATGAAAACGGCGACACCAAGCACCACTGTGACTAGACCTGATAAGATGGGCCAGAAAAAGTCAAATGTGTTCTCTTTAGCCTTCTTCCGGACCTCCACGTCTGACAATTTGGCATTCTCTGGTGCTGCTTTGATTATCCTGATTTGCTCGTTTATTTTTTCATTCACTTTTTCAAGGTTTGCATTGGTGTAGCATCTCCCTTTGTTCTTTTGCACAGTTTGGTCGATGGTCTTGAGCAGCTCTTTGACCTGGTGCTGGTTGTTCCTGTATAGATCACTGCTGTTGTTCCAGTATTTATTATCAAACACATGACAGCGACCTCCACATTTCTGAATCAGGGTGGTCAGGGCTTCATTATCTTTGACCCATTCCTTTATAGTGACCCCCTCTTTCAGCTGATCACCTTGAGTAATGACCAGTGTGGTGTATTTGAGAGCCTCTTCTGAGAAGTGTTTACAGATAACTTCAGCCACAGACAGCTCATGTTTGGTGAACCTCTCCACTTTGAGCACCAGCAGAAAGGCGTGGACTCCTTCTGCACACTCAATCATGCAATTCAGGATCTCCTTCGTAAAATCAGGGGCATTTGAATCGGTATCAAAAAGACCAGGAGTATCGATTAGCTGCACATTTCTTCCGTGCACTGTTTTGATCTCAGACTGACAGACCACTGTTCCAGATTTGGAGGAGTGACAGACTTTAAACAAACTACCATCTTCAAGTATAGTGTTGGCCAGGCTGCTCTTGCCAGCTCCAGTCTTACCCAGAAGAACAATCCTCCTGTCTGCTGCTGTTGGGAAAAATACAGAAAATTACATTGTTTTGGTACTTGAACTGAATCCTTGCTTTATCAGTATGGAGTAGCCTGTATCAACAGAAGTAGACACCTTAAGATTCCAGATCAATGTTGTCTTTATAAAAGTAACTTTACATTTCCCCCAAATCCCCAAATCCCCATTTTTCATTGATTTATTCAGAGCTTAAAAAATATGACATAGGTGTTTGTTTCGTTTTCTTACATAGCTATTCATACATGCACATGTGCCTCATTCTTCACAATATAATAACATAACATAGCTCAAAATGGAGTGGGAAGCTGAACGGTGGCTCATTTTACCTGCACACTGCTCTTCTCACAAACCTCTAGGACACCAACAATTGCATTTTACTTCCAGTTCAATTGATCTCATCAGATCTCAGCAAAAAACTGTTGTTGTATCCTTAGGCAAGACACTTCACCCACATTGCCTACTATGAAAGTGGAGTGTATGTGTGTAAGTGTTGGTGATGGTCAGAGGGGTTGATAGCGCAGATTGGCAGCCTCACTTCTGTTAGTCTGCCCCAGGGCAGCTGGGACAGACTAACAGAAGTAACATCAGTAACTTACCACCAGTGAGTGTGAAGTGAATGACTAATGCTCTATAAAGTGCTTTGGGGGTGTTGAAAGGAACTATATAAATGCAATAATTATAATTAATACAGCTCTACCTTACATTTACTCTATTACAGGTGGTTTTATAGCTCAAAGATATTTAGAAAAACACCCATCTGCCCTGGAACTTGGTCTGGTTTGGTCTCCATGAAGATAAAAAGGTTAATGTCATACTGTGAAACATTCCAGACAAAGCAATAACATCTCAGAAAAGCATTTGTCTGACCCTCCACCAGAAAAGTTACACAGCGCACCTTTAGACCTGTTTTACTTGCATTCACATGTCACAGGTACAAATATTATTCTGAATATACCTCTGCAGGTTTGTCCTTTTACCTGCTACATTCATGACATGTCTGTGTGCCTGAAGTCAACTACTGTAGGTCGAACTGCTTGTGTATAATGTGCACAAGCAGTTATACAAGATCATTAGATCTTGTATAACTTATGGATTTTTTTTCACTATGCATTCTGGGTGCTCCAGTTGGATTTCATTCCAGCCACACCTAGTTCAGATTTGATTATTCAAACCATTTTGATTATTCAACCAGATTTGATTATTCAAACCATTTTCCTGATACTCCACTGTAAATAAACATCACTTTTCGCAAGTTAGACAGAATGCGGGAGGCGTTCTATTTTTCACGAGAAAAAAGTTGTAAATTAATGTTTCGCAGTTAGCAATTGCCAGTGGTGTGCAGAGGAGCCGAAAAAATTTACCCAAGAGTAACGTTCTTTAAAAAATAATAATAATCAAGTAGAACTACAAAACAGCGATCTAAGAAATGACTCAAGTAAAAGTTAAAAATATATTTGATTTTTCATTATGTTGAAGTAACGTTACTCTTGAGTATACTTTACATGTATTTATTTATTTATTTATTTATTTGTTTGTTTATTTTTTTTTATTATATCCTCTCCACGCAGTCTAGTAAAAACTTGAAATCGAAAGTAAAAAAAGCCAGCAAGATTACGTTCGCGTGTTGTTTACAGTGTTGACATATTAGGCTAATTCATGTAATGTGATGAATGTAATCTACGTAAAAATAAATGTAACAGTAAAAACAAGAATCTTATATGCAAAAAGTGAAAAAAAAAGAAAGAAAACTCACCGTCCATGACTCTCTCTCTCTCTCCTCTTTCTTTCTTTCTTTCTCTTCACCTCCTGCACGCTGCGGTTACGTTTGCTAAAAGATTCAAGTTAATTTAAGTTTGTTTTTTTGTTTGTTTGTTTGTTTTTCAACTGCTTTGTCTGAGTAACCATGAGACAACCAAATAAGCTATAGTCTGAAATAAGGTCACTCTAAAATACTCTGTTGTCTTGTTATTAACGTTTGAAACCGGTCTAACAAGAAAAATTACCCTTCAATTTTCTGGTATAGCTTTATTTATGTGCATGTGAAATAGAACTGAATGTGCCATGCCAATGTTGTCTCAATGTTGTTTTCCCCATTATATAAGGTATAAAACTATTTGAATTCCACAGTATGGCATTACCGGCCCTATATTACACACTCTTATTACTCTTGTGAGCTTTAAGCCATGTTAGAATGTTGTTACCTCTTCAAAATTATATCTGGAGTTGTGTTTTGTTTCATTCACACATGGTTAAGTAAATCCTTTATTGTCAGTCTGTCTACACCTCCAAAATACTCAGTTCCAGCTTGTGAAAGAGGTAGTTCTCAAGTTAACAGCTACATTTGACCTTTTGTTTCTGTAGAGATTTAAAAAAATAAATAAATACACGCACGCACACACACACACACACACACAAAACTCCAGGTATATTTGTGATGAGGAAACAACACTATAACATACATCAGAAAATACAATAATAAGGGCCCTTTGTTGTGGAAAATGTTCTTTTTAAATAATAGACATCCGTTGAAGCATAAAAATAAAAGTTTATTTAATATCTTTGCAAAGAGAGGCAGAGGACAAGTCGGTTCAATGCAGGGTTGTAACTCTGTCTGAACCAGCGTCAGACTCACAAAACATATATAGGAGTATCTAAGCAAGTATTACCAAAAGAAAAGGAAACATCTGTGCTGGGTTATGATGCCCCAAAGGATACGCAAGGACAGTTACTCCCTAATATGAGGAGAGCAGCTCTCTTTAAAACAGGATTTAAAACACACAATGAAAACTGTGAATAACTGCACGTAGTAGCAATAGTGGTATTTTCCCATTACACCTTTAAACTGAAGGCTATATCAAGTAATAAAGCTTCTTAGGTGCACCACATGCAATAAAAAACATAAATTTGAATAAATGCAAGACAGGTTTAATGCCACACTAAGAAACATTACAGGCAAAGCAATTAAGTCTCTATGGTGACAGATCCCCCATGCTAATTTTCACCAATGTTTTTTGTGAGACATTAATCATAGAACACATGCAAAGTTCACTGGTTCTTTTATTTGGTCATTTATTCATTTATTTTATTCAGAGGAAATAAAATCACTGTTGTTTTTTGTGATCAGGTTAAAAAAAAAAAAAAAAAAAAAAAACATACTGAAAAACCTTAAATGATTAATGGAACATCAAATAATCACATTGACAACTTATCTGAGACATATCAATTACACAGACAGAATAAAACTGAATTTTACAAACCATAATGAATCTCTTTACAATGTGGTGTTTTATCCCCTCAGTCGGTTTGTTAAAAATGACACTGTGATTCCATTTGTAATTTATATACTTTTTTTGGAAGCAATAACAATGACATAAGACTGAAATATGAACTGGTGAATTAACAGAGACGACTCTTGTGCATTGCAGAACACGTTTGTAGAGGTCTAAACTACAAGATTAGCTGTTTTTTTTTTTTTTATTTTTTTTGTTTGAAGAGCTACAGATCGACTCTTGTGATGTTTAAGACATGTTATTATAATGCTTTTACCTCCTCAAAAACATACCTGGAGTTGTGTTTTGTTTCATTCACATGTGTTTGAGTAACTCTTTATTATTTAGTCTGTCTACATCTCCAGAGCTCAAGATGCTGTGTTCCACCTTGTGATGTCATGTAGTGGTAGTTTTCAAGTTAATAGCTCCTTTTACCTTTAGCTCAGTAGAGATTGGCAATTCCAGGCCTGAAATCATCCAGATGATTCAAGTAAAGGAGTCTGGAGTTTAAAAACACAGTGGAGCTCTTATTATATTACCACATGACATCATAAATATACAGGGTTTGTGTGTTAAACCTGTGTGAATGAAACAAAATACAACTCTGGGTATGCTTTTGGTAACATATATCAGTACACAGAAAAATACGGGTCCTTTAAATAATTTTAAGTTGCATTTTTGATCACGATAACTCTTGTCTGTCTTACATGGGCTGCGTCTTGTTGGAGTTAGACCACACGCTTCTTTTGAGCACTGCTTCTATGGTTTCTATGATGTAATCTAAAGTAGTTTTTATCGGTGTCACTACTTCCTGTACCACCTCCACCACTGAAGGAACCAGCACCTCATTTGCACCTGGGCCTGACCCTGACATCACTTTACCCCCTCTGAAAAAACTTACCATTTGAGCCATCAGAATATACGAGACAACGGAAAAACCAGCACCAATTAAATATATATTTCAGATAGCGCGTTCGTTGCTGTGTTTGTATGAATTTTTGAAGGACTATTTGCTTTGCTTCATCTCTGCTCTCCTCCGCAGAATTGCCTCTCAACTTGCGAATACGTTCTTGCTCTTTTCGAATATCGGCTTCCACTTGCTGTAACTTCGAATTAATGAAGAAGCCATTGTTGTTTTGTTGACATGTCATATCGATTGAACTGAGGATCTCTCTCCTTTGAAACGTGTTGCTTCGATATTCATTTTGCTTGGTGTTTTTCCAGTACTTGTTGTCAATCACATGGCAGCGTTTACCACATTTCCGGACCAATTCGCTCAGCCCTTTGCTCTGAGCCACGAACTCACCAATTTTCATCGTTTCGGGCAGCTGGTCTCCGTGAGTGAAGACTACCGTGGTGTATTTGAAAACCTCATCACCGAAATGCGTCTGAATTTGATCGACGATGGCTTGTTCTTGCTCTGTAAACTTCTCCACCAAAAGTACGAAAATAAAGGCGTGGGGTCCGGGCGAGCATTGGATCAAACAGCTAAATATCTCACACTGAATTTCGTCACTGGAGCGGTCGGTGTTGAAAATACCAGGGGTGTCAATCAATGTCAACTTCAGTCCGTTCACAGTTCTAGTTTGGGCCTGGGAGAATTTAGATCTAGAGTCACTGCTGTGGTTCACGTCGAAAGTTTGAGCTCCGAAAATGGTGTTGGCCAGGCTGCTTTTTCCACTGCCACTTTTGCCAATCAGGACAATTCTTCGAGTATTTGAGTCTAAAAAATAGATATTAAAAATGTGTATTAGGACTACCAGAAAACAAACTGATTTTAGTTTTAATGTAGGCCGTGTCTCCCATATTGCACACAAAATTGACTCTTGTGAGCTTTAAATCATGTTATAATGTCGTTATCTTCTCAAAAACATACCTGGAGTTGTATTTTTGTTTCATTCACACATGTCTGAGTAATATTTATTATTAATCTGTCTATATCTCCAAAGTTCAAAATGCTCTGTTCCATCTTGTGATGTCGTGAAGTGGTAGTTTCAGGTTAACATATACCTTTTAACTTTATCTTAAACGAGATTGGCAATTCCAGGGCTGAAATCATCTAAATGATTCCAATGAGGGGGTATGGGGTTTAAAAACACAGTGGAGTACTTCTTGTATTGCCACATGACATCACAAGGTGGAAGGAACAGAGAGTTTTCTGTTTGAAAGAAGAGCTAAGCACAAACACGCAGGGTTTGTGTGTTAAACATGAATGAAAGAAACAAAACACAACTCCAGGTATGTTTGTGATGAGGTAACATCATTATAACATGACTTAAAGCTCACAAGAGTCAATTTTGTGCAATATAGGACCTTTAAACCTGTACTTGTAAAGGAGTATAATTATAGCCAAGTAATTGTAATTAGTAACATTTTCCAGGCCACATCTGTCTCTGTTCCTTTCTGTACCCACAAACACACACAACCACAGTGGATCTCCTGCTCTGATAGGGCAGAGATCAGAGAATATGCAGACTCTGTTTTAAAAGGACTGCATTAAGTTTTGTTTGAAAGCCTGATCTAAAATTGAATTATAAAGTAGACTATTTTTCATGCGTACTTTTAACTTTTACTTAAATACAGTTTTCGGAAACAATGGGCGACTTGTAACTGAGTACATTATTAGCCAATTAACCGTACTTTTACTGAAGTACAAAATTGCACAGCCCCAAACATGGAAAATGTTATACCTATAAAAATAAGGAATAAGCAACAATACAAAGACTGTACTTTATATTACACTATAATCTAGTAAAAGTAAAATCACAAGACACGATTTCTCAATTTGAATCACTAAATATGAAGTCTGCGGTTTTACTGCCACAAAAGTGGTAGTACTCAATTACTTTTCAGAGCACTTATGGTAGTATACATTTACTCCTAATTGAGTAATATTTTCATTGAAGTCACAGTACTCCTACTTGAGTAAAGGTTTTGGTGACTCTTGTCTACAAGTGACAAAAGTTTCTTGCGCCACTTCTTCGATAAAATGTAGTTATGTATTAACATCAAATCAGAAATCAATCAATGTTACAGTTACTCCTTACTCCTTCAGTTGTAGGTAAGAGAAGGCCTAGAAGTTATCCCAAATATATTTTACTCTTACCCGAGTCATTTCTTGGACCACGACTTTGTACTTCTTCTTTAGTAACATTATTTTGAAAGTAGCGTTACTCTTACTGAGTACAAGATTTGACTACCACCTCTGGTAAATGCGCATTACATAAGAGATGAGGTTATTATGTGTCATTATTATGAACATTAGGGGGAGTACGAACAACACAAAACAGTTGTGCACTAGAGGCTATAGCCACACGGGATAGGATTGTAAAAAGCGCATCGAGAAGCCCGCAAAACGTGCTAAAATACAGGCCTAAAAAACGCTCTGTGCAATGAACCAGCTACTTAGCCTACTAATTAATCCACTCCAATTAATTAAACTTTGCAGTGAGGATCGACTCGAGCTACGTGGGTAGATATGATAGGCTACTGTATGTAAACTATTCTTGAAGTTAGGAACAAAACACTGCAGCTATAAATCGGTTTTGGATAGATCAGAGGACTTACCCTCCATGTTTGTAGAATCTTTACGGAAGTGTCTGTACCCAGATAGGTGGTCGTGCGTCGGGCGTCTCCTGGCTCTGAGATCGGGCTCTTTTTGCTTTCACTTCTGTTTTACGGGAAGTGGGCGTGTTATAGTCAGAGCACGTCGCATGGCTACGCCTACGTTGTACTGGTCCTGTATATTCTGTCGCCTCCTCTTCCCAAGAAGCTATAATCAGACATAGCAAAACAATCATATGTATGCGTGATATGTGATTGTAATCTCCTGTGACATCCTAATTATGTTTAGATTTTTGTCAACAATTATAACGGAAAATACGGACTTAGGCTACTAATTTTCAAAATGATAGCCAAATCCTCCAGTTGTAGGCCTACCTTTGTCCAAAACAGGGATTTTTAAAGCATTTCTGTCAAAGACATTTTAAAGAATCTATTTATGAATGTAACCCTGCATCTCAAAGGGCATTCCAATAAAATAAAATAAATACAATAAAATACAACAAAAGAATATGACTATACTTGCAAACATTTGTGTATTAAAAATAATACAAAAAAAATATTAATCCAAGAATATTTTTATTATTTAAGCATAAAACACAACAATAATTAAAATTCCTCCAGAACCTTGATTTGCAGAACTACTTTCATGACTTCTTTGATGTTTGTTTTCATTTCCAACAAAAGTCATTTATCTGACTAATGCACAAAGCAACAAAAACATACAAGCTGGAATCCCAAAGTTTGTCCACGCAACACGCACATAAAAGAAAACTGAATTTGATATTTACAGAAATGTGTTACACTTACTATACTTTAAATTTAGCTTATTAATTATTATCAGATATGCAAATATAAGAGAAAAAACATGGCATAATCTTTAGAATAGAACATTTATTATGGTTGGAACCATAATCTTTAGATTGCCTTGATCTGAGACTCTTCCCCAGCCTAGTGTGCTTTTAAAACTACCATTCCAATGAAAACGGCGACACCAAGCACCACTGTGCCTAGACCTGATAAGATGGGCCAGAAAAAGTCAAATGTGTTCTCTTTAGCCTTCTTCCGGACCTCCACGTCTGACAATTTGGCATTCTCTGGTGCTGCTTTGATTATCCTGATTTGGTCGTTTATTTTTTCATTCACTTTTTCAAGGTTTGCATTGGTGTAGCATCTCCCTTTGTTCTTCTGCACACTTTGGTCGATGGTCTTGAGCAGCTCTTTGACCTGGTGCTGGTTGTTCCTGTATAGATCACTGCTGTTGTTCCAGTATTTATTATCAAACACATGGCAGCGACCTCCACATTTCTGAATCAGGGTGGTCAGGGCTTCATTATCTTTGACCCATTCCTTTATAGTGACCCCCTCTTTCAGCTGATCACCTTGAGTAAAGACCAGTGTGGTGTATTTGAGAGCCTCTTCTGAGAAGTGTTTACAGATAACTTCAGCCACAGACAGCTCATGTTTGGTAAACCTCTCCACTTTGAGCACCAGCAGAAAGGCTTGGACTCCTTCTGCACACTCAATCATGCAATTCAGGATCTCCTTCGTAAAATCAGGGGCATTTGAATCGGTATCAAAAAGACCAGGAGTATCGATTAGCTGCACATTTCTTCCATGCACTGTTTTGATCTCAGACTGACACATCACTGTTCCAGATGTGGAGGAGTGACAGACTTTAAACAAACTACCATCTTCAAGTATAGTGTTGGCCAGGCTGCTCTTGCCAGCTCCGGTCTTACCCAGAAGCACAATCCTCCTGTCTGCTGCTGTTGGGAAAAATACAGAAAATTACATTGTTTTGGTACTTGAACTGAATCCTTGCTTTATCAGTATGGAGTAGCCTGTATCAACAGAAGTAGACACCTTAAGATTCCAGATCAATGTTGTCTTTTTAAAAGTAACTTTACATTTCCCCCAAATCCCCAAATCCCCATTTTTCATTGATTTATTCAGAGCTTAAAAAATATGACATAGGTGTTTGTTTCGTTTTCTTACATAGCTATTCATACATGCACATGTGCCTCATTCTTCACAATATAATAACATATCTCAAAATGGAGTGGGAAGCTGAACGGTGGCTCATTTTACCTGCACACTGCTCTTCTCCAAACCTCTAGGACACCAACAATTGCATTTTACTTCCAGTTCAATTGATCTCATCAGATCTCAGCAAAAAACTGTTGTTGTATCCTTAGGCAAGACACTTCACCCACATTGCCTACTATGAAAGTGGAGTGTATGTGTGTAAGTGTTGGTGATGGTCAGAGGGGTTGATAGCGCAGATTGGCATCACAAGGTGGAACAGAGTGTTTTCTGTTTGAGAGAAGAGCTAAGCGTAAATATGCAGGGTTTGTGTGTTAAACATGTGTGAATGAAACAAAACACAACTGTCTCTGTTCCTTTCTGTACCCAAAAGCACACATAACCACAGTGGATCTCCTGCTCTGATAGGGCAGAGCTCAGAGAATGTGCAGACTGTGGTTTAAAATGGCTGAATTAAGTTTTATTTAAAAAAAAAAGAAAAAAAAAAGCCTGGTCTAAAATTGCATTATAGTAGGTAGACTATATAAGTAGCATAGAAAGTAGACTATTTTTCAGGTATATTTTTAAGTTTTACTTAAATACAACTTTGGGAACAACAGGTTACCTGTACTTGTAATTGAGTACATTATTAGACAAGTAATGGTACTTTTACTTAAGTACAAAATTACACAGTCCCAAACATGGAAAAACTAAAATATTACAAATATTATACCTACAAAAATAAGGAAATAAGGAACAGGCACCAGTACAGTGTACTTTACATTACACTATAGCCTAGTAAAAGTAAAATGACACAGTTTCTCTATTTGAATCAATAAATATGAAGTCTGTGGTTTTAGTGCCAGAGGTGGTAGTCAATTACTTTTCAGAGCACTTATGACAGTATACTTTTACTCTTGAGTAATATTTTTCGTTTTACTTTTACTCTTATTTGAGTAAAAGTTTTGGTTACTCCTCCTACTATGAGTAAGTTTACAAGTGACAAAAGTTTCTTGCATCACTCCTTAGATAAAAGGTAGTTATGCATTAAGTTACTCCATCAGTTACCCTTACATGAGTAGGCTTAAAAGTTTTCCAAAATAATTTTTTTTATTCTTACCTGAGCCATTTCTTGGATCAACACTTTGTACTTCTACTTGAGTAATATTATTTTGAAGTAGCTTTACTCTTACTGAGCAGTTTTGGCTACCACCTCTGGTAAATGCGCAATAACATTTCAGAAGAGAAGCCCACAAAACGCGCTAAAATATAAGTTTAAAATAGGGCTCTCTGCAGTAAACCAGCTACTTAGCCTACTAATTAATCCACTCCAATTAATTAAACTTTGCAGTGAGGATCGACTCGAGCTACGTGGGTAGATATGATACTGTATGTAAACTATTCTTGAAGTTAGGAACAAAACACTGCAGCTATAAATCGGTTTTGGATAGATCAGAGGACTTACCCTCCATGTTTGTAGAATCTTTACGGAAGTGTCTGTACCCAGATAGGTGGTCGTGCATCGGGCGTCTCCTGGCTCTGAAATCGGGCTTTTTTGCTTTCACTTCTGTTTTATGGGAAGTGGGCGTGTTATAGTCAGAGCACGTCGGCTACGTTGTACGGTTCCTTTTATTTCCCCGCCCCCTCTCAAACAAACTACAAGTAGACATGGCTAAACAATAAAATTTATACTAACACCCAAACCACAACCCTTAGTAGATAATAAATAAATAAATAAATAAAAGATTGATTCCAACAATATATTTTTTATTATTATTTAAGAATACAGAATAACAATTTTAAATTCTCCCAGACTTGATTTGCAGAACTTTTAGGACTTTTAAAAATATTGTATTAATCTCCAGGAAAGGTCTGACTGATCAGCAAAGCAGCAAGAACATACAAGCTGGACTCCCAAAGTTTGCCCACACAACACGTACATAAAAGAAAACTGAATTTGATCTTTACAGAAATGTGTTACATTTACTACAGCACGTAACTTTAGCAGAGTCATTACTATCTCTATACATATATGCATATATAAGAGATAAACATTACATTATCTTTAGAGCAGAATGAAAGAATAGAAAGAATAGAAATTGATTTGGTTTGAGACTCTTCCCCAGCTTAACGTGCTTTTAAAAGCTACCATTCCAATGAAAACGGCGACACCAAGCACCACTGTGCCTAGACCTGATAAGATGGGCCAGAAAAAGTCAAATGTGTTCTCTTTAGCCTTCTTCCGGACCTCCACGTCTGACAATTTGGCATTCTCTGGTGCTGCTTTGATTATCCTGATTTGCTCGTTTATTTTTTCATTCACTTTTTCAAGGTTTGCATTGGTGTAGCATCTCCCTTTCGTTCTTTCTGCACAGTTTGGTCGATGGTCTTGAGCAGCTCTTTGACCTGGTGCTGGTTGTTCCTGTATAGATCACTGCTGTTGTTCCAGTATTTATTATCAAACACATGACAGCGACCTCCACATTTCTGAATCAGGGTGGTCAGGGCTTCATTATCTTTGACCCATTCCTTTATAGTGACCCCCTCTTCCAGCTGATCACCTTGAGTGAAGACCAGTGTGGTGTATTTGAGAGCCTCTTCTGAGAAGTTTTTACAGATAACTTCAGCCACAGACAGCTCATGTTTGGTGATCCTCTCCACTTTGAGCACCAGCAGAAAGGCGTGGACTCCTTCTGCACACTCAATCATGCAATTCAGGATCTCCTTCGTAAAATCAGGGGCATTTGGATCGGTATCAAAAAGACCAGGAGTATCGATTAGCTGCACATTTCTTCCGTGCACTGTTTTGATCTCAGACTGACACGTCTCTGTTCCAGATTTGGAGGAGTGACAGACTTTAAACAAACTACCATCTTCAAGTATAGTGTTGGCCAGGCTGCTCTTGCCAGCTCCGGTCTTACCCAGAAGCACAATCCTCCTGTCTGCTGCTGTTGGGAAAAATACAGAAAATTACATTATTTTGGTACTTGACTTGAATCCTTGCTGTAAAGATGTAAATCTTTTTGACATATTTTTTGATTGATTTAGAGCTTGTGACAGTAGTTTCAGCTGTATAATATTTACATCTACAAAAGATGACATAATAGGTTTTAGTTTTCTCACATGCACGTGCCTCATTATTCACAACACAATAACATAACATAGGTCAGAAGGGAGTGGGAAGCTGAGGGGTAGCTCGTTTTACCCATAGACTGTATATATGAGTAGACATAGCAAACGCACTAGTCACCACATGCCACATAGAAAGTTAGCCAGGAGGCTCTTCTCGCTCCTTCTGACCCTGGCTCCAATTGACTTACATTAGGATCTTGTGGCCCCTCTCTCTGTAACTGTTGTAGTGAGCCTTGTTATTTTGGTCTTAAAATGTTTGTATTAATATGCTCTACATGATTCTGAATTTTTTTTCACTATTTTGTCCATCAAAATACAATACAGTACAGTACATACTATTCATAATACAGAGCCTAGCTCCAGATTCGGTCCTGTAACTTAGCATCGCGAGCCTCATTTGAGCGGCTAAGGGTAACGTCACACTCGCTTTGTCCACTTGTTTATACAGTCTATAGTTTTACCTGAACACTGCTCTTCTCCAAACCTTTGGGGCACCAACAATTGCATTTTACTTCCTCAGTTTCATTCCAAAATATAAGTAAGTAGTAATTAAGTAGTCCTTAGTACTATAATAACAGAATTCAATGCCAAACATTACCTAAAAATATTTGGTAAGTGATTTACCATACAGAAAAATCCCGCACACCGTCTTACTTGCAAACTGTGAAATTTATTAGGACAAAACCGTGCAACGTTTCGGCACTAGGCCTTCGTCAGGCAAAACCTGACGAAGGCCTAGTGCCGAAAGAGAGAAAGAGAATGCTTTAGTTAAATTGCAATTCTGAAAGAAACATTTTATTAAAACTGTTAGTGGTTAATTGTTAGTGTTGTTAGTGTGGGATTATTTCCTAGGACACCGAAGAAGAGAAAATTATATCTCCTGTAACAAAACAAAATTAAAGAAATTCACAGGTGCATAGTCGTCAAGGATGGTCATGTCAGTCAAGTCAAGTTTTTTTGTGATCACAACCGGCTTTGATAAGGCCTTCATTAGTTTTTAAGAGAGCTCACAAAATTTACAGAATTTCCAGCTGCACTGTTAGGACATGCGCATCTTTAAAAGCAATAGGCAAAAACACAACATAAATATCAATAAAAAAATAAAAATATAAAGAAAAAACAAACTCTAAAACCAAGTGAATCTGTTAACTGCATCCTATCATTTTCTTGCTAACACTGTTGACACGTGCACAAATGTTACACACAGATTTTCTGATACTGCACAATTTACAACATACTGTTTGATCAGGTCCCAAGGAAACACAAACATACAGTTGACTTTTGGTGTTACACTCTGTACTAAGCACACATTTCAGTGGCTTAAACAAAGAGCGGTTCAGAATGTCCCAAAGGTGAGGAAATTAAGAGTGGGGGATGGTTTTTGTTGTTGGCATTGTATTTTAGCATGTTGTTACAGCAGCATAGTGGTACACCATGAATTTTGGAGCCCAAAAATTGAAGGTCAATCAAGTAACTGAAATATAGAAATTGTAGCTTTTGTGAGATTAATTAAGAATTGTATAGGAACAGAGCTAGAGTTTGGCATGTTTTGAAAAGTCCATTTAACTCCAATAGGAGGCATACTGTCCTTTAACATTTCCAAGTGTTTGTAGATGAAGGTTTCCTTTAAAATTAACTTAAATTAAGTATAGTTTATATTGCAAAAGCTCACCAAGCAAATCTTGTTCGAATTCAGCGATAATGATCCAGGACAGAAGTCAATGTCCATCCATGTCCTTCTTTGCTCCATGCACCAGGAAAGAAAACAAAAGTAGATAAAATTTCATCTGTGCTGTATTTTGGATGCTCACTTATAAATCCCACTTCTGACACCAACTTGTGGAAAAGATATGTATCTCTTGATGATCAGTATGTGAAACAAAAGTCACTCTGCTTTGATTAGATGCTCTGGAGGAGATGGAGGGGGCTAGCATGGGAGGGACATACTGCTGGTGAAGAGAGGCTGCTGGGCTCTGGCCAGGGCAGGTCTAGGCCCTGTCTATATCTGCTGTAACAAGAATAAACCTTTGTCTCTATTCCAAAAACTCATCAGGTTTCACAAATGGATTAATTATTTATCATCAAGAGATTTTTTCCACAGTTTTTCAGTTAGTCACTCTCACTTAAACAGGACCATAAATAGTTTAATTGAGCACATGCTCCTGAAAATTATGTTCTATTTTTTCTTGAGTTTTCAGGCCATCTTGGAACTTATTTGGAATGTGTTTGCTAATGTGTGCTTTGTGTCACCATGGTAACTGCAACAGTAACTCATATCATGAGATTTTAACCAACAAAGAAGTGTAGCAGGTTCAGTGAAAACGACACAAGTAAGGGACTGTTGGTTTGTGTAAAATGTTTGTTTTTCCCATATCCATAGAGACAGTGTAAGAGCTATAGACATTTAAGATGCTACAGGATTTTTACACCATATGTGGCGGCAAATGTCAAATGTGGCAGAAGATCTTCCAGAGGAAATACTCCAACAGGTCAAACTCATTCCATCGAAAGCCGAATGTGTCTTTTTTTTTCAGTATTCTGCCGAATATATTCAGTTGCCGAATATTCGGTGCATCCCTAAAAATATATATATCAAAAACTGTGTATTAATGTCTTCTGTATGCGCCCTAGAGTCTCAGACTGCAGCTACCACACATTGGACCCTGACCCCCAATTTACACCAAAGCGTAACACTGCCTAAGCGCAGCAGCACAGCATACGAGCAGCATATGTGCAGGTATTATTTTCCATTTTAACTGGCCAGACAGTTCTCTGTTGAGAAAACTGAACTCTTTTAATATGAACAAAATGATTTTCAACAATTTTTATTTTTCTTTTATCAAAAGTCTGCTTACTTTTTCTTTTATTTGCTGGTTTAAATCCTTGTCCTTAAAGGATAAAAACGAACTGCAGAACATTGTTAAAACCTGCTCAAAAATCACAGGGTTCAAACTGAGGGAGCTGCACTCTTTGTGGGAGGAGCAAGTGCTGAGCAAAGCCAAGTGTCTCCTGGCTCAGCCCCTCCATCCTCTGTCTCCTGATTTTATCTTGATGCCTTCAGGGCGTCGGTTTTATACTCCGGTATGAAAGACTAACCGGTTCTCAAATCCTTTTGTGCCCTCTACTATTAAATTGCTAAAGTCTGTGGGTCCCCCGGAGGAACTGGTATATAGCCTGGGGTGGCTCGTCCACGTAGCTGCTGCCAATAGTGTAAGCGACATTTACAATAGTAATAGTCGACTTATAAAGTTACGTTTTATAGAAGCTTCACTGGTGATATGACACTGAGTGATTTGCGGCACACAGCGTTACAGCTGATTCTTGAGTCTGTCCTCTTGTAAACATAGCCGTACCTCTGCTATTAAATTGCTAAATTCTAAGGGTACAGTTTTCTTAATGTTGTGCACTGTAATTTGTAG